GGCGCCGATTTGGGAGTAGCCGGCCACATCCGCGTCAAGCGCGACGTGAGCGGCAAAGGCATGCGCAACGTTGCCGAGGACGTCGTGTTCCCCAACATCGAAGGCGGCGCCCACCACCTCGTCGTCCCCCACGACCAAGCCCACCCTGACATCTCCATGAATTTGACGTGCACCGACTGCACCAGTGCTTACCCTGACAGGAACTACAGTGCGCGCAATAAGTATACGACATGCAAAATTTCGCGTCATGAGTGGCTGCAAGACCGTTGCATAAGCTCGAACTTGGATGACTGCCTTCTACGAACTATATTTGCGTGCTTTGAACGATTCTCGTTCAAAGGCACCTCTGAGTTGCCGATTCAAAGCAGATTTGAGCTTACGCAGTGCGCAATATTTATACGCCATCCAACAAAAAATGAACGTGTGCAGTTCAATTGACACAAAATCAAAGCTAGTACTTTGTAATAGCGTCCTTAGATTGCAGTACTGCCACACAACGCCTGGGCATGCTCAAAACGAGGTCATTCAAAGTGGAAAGACGAATTAGAGACCAGGCCAGCAATATGGCTGCTTTCAGTTCACCTACGTGCAAATACTGCTTACCATTTTCATACATCTTTCGGGCAACTATGCCCCAAAAGGGTCTCAATTGGATTGAGATCCGGCGATAACGCTGGATGCTCGAAAATTGCAACTTTTTCCTGCTCGAGAAACTCGACCGTTTCCTTGGACTTGTGGATCGACGCGTTGTCTTGTTGGAAAATGAAGTCGAGGCCGTGGTTGAAGTGGGCGAATGGAAACAAAAAATCTTGGAGAGTCCAGATGTAGTGGTGGGATATTTGGTTTCCATCTAGGAAAGCAATTTCGGACGTCCCGCGGGATGAAAACGCGGCCCAAATCATGACGCTCCCACCGCCGTTTCGTCTTGACATGAACGTGTCTGGCTCCCGCGCAAGGTCATGCTAATAGTACTGCCATCCATCTGGACCATCCAAATTGAACTTCTTCTTCTCATCAGACCAGATGATTTGAGTCCAATTTGGAGGTCCAGAAAGATGGCGCGTAGCAAAGTCCAAACGAGCTTGCTTGTGTCGTTCCGTGAGCGCTGGGCTTGGCTTACGCTTCGCGTACTCGAGACGCTCGCTCATTTGGAGATGGTGCTGAACGGTACGCAATGACACGTTCAAGTTGAGTTCTTGTTTGAGCTTGCTTGCTGACATTCCAGTCTTGCAAGCTTCTCGGATGAGCCTCCGTTCCGTCAATTGCGTCATTTTGGGAGATCTTCCGGGTCGTTTGGTGGTTCCATACTTGTCTAGATTGACAAGATAGACTCGAATGACACTTCGGGGCCTGCCAAGCACCCCTGCAACGGTCGCGATTGGGACTGGGCGGCTGAAAAGTGCGGCAATCTGGCCCTTCTCGAATTCGTCGAGGTTCGAGCCTCTGGGCATGGGTTTGACGTTTGATTGTCGTTGTTTCTATATATGTGTGATGTTTTGACTTTACAATGACGCACGATTGACAATGTGTCTGTAGTTATAACCTGTTGTAGCGAGCTGGCGAATACTTCTTGCGCAGGTTGGAGCAGCTCACGACTTGCTTCGGCACGATTTTGACGTGCAGCGTCTAAAAATTGGCGCTTGTGGTTTGTCCAATGGAAAGTATCCTTCGATAATAATCGTCGCTAGACAAGGACGGTTGGATGAAATGATATCTTGATTTGGCGCGATGGCATATTTTTTTTGCGCGCACTGTAGTCGTCCAGTACACCCAAGACTACGGTGACCACAACAGAGCGAATTATGGTATGGTTTGGCACTCCCACACGGTGTCGTTGTCCAAGTCATGGAGGGAAAAAACAAAGCAATCCGATCGATGTCGGATGGAATGTCGTGTCGGACGGATTATCGATACGTTTACGGTGTTGGAGATGTCGGTGGACGTGTCATGATACGAGCTCTTCTGCTTGGGCTTGGTGAAGCCGATTGATCACTCGATTCATTCAGCCATGAAGCGCTTGGTTCGTTGAACAAGCGCATCTCGTCTGAGCCTGCTTGAGCTCTCTCTCACTTTTCATGGAAGACGGAGATGGACACGCCCCAACGCCATCGATTCTTTGGTAGCAAACAAACGTGGCCAGTCTTTCTCGCTGTAGCATCCGCTCAATAAAGAAGCAATTTGTTATGATTCTTGTCCAGCTACCTTTTCGACACGCATGGAGATTCATTGTAGCACCAGCTTTGAATGGAAACCTCGTGCATCCCACGGCACAATTTATTGCCCAGGTCCGAAGAAATGGAGCTTGCGCGATCGAGAATAACGTATAAATGCAACTTTCGCCATTCACACAGACACCTGTGCGGACTACAGTATATCAAACTGTCAATGGGGTATTACCTATGCTGCGGACAGCATTGCTATCCATATCGACATCGCGGCATTGCTCCATGCAGGATTTACGCTTCTCGGTGATGGGAATGGCTTGCGTTTGACTGGTGCGGAGCAACGACAATGGCGCAAGACTTAGCAGTTCATAGGCGCTGGAGGCTTTGGCTTCATGAAACTGCTTCGTTTGTTCATGAATTGGCGGTACTCACGTTTGGACTTGGTGTTGGCCGCCCCGGCCGCTGCACCACGGAGGTTTTCTTCAATTGGTTTACCTTTCGTCGAATCAAAGCCAGAAAATCCCATCATCATTCGCATTTGCTCCTCTTCGCTGATATCTGGCTCGGGTGGCTTGTTTTGAGCAGAATTGGATGGTGATGCACCGCCTTCGCCTTGAAGAATACGTTCCCTACATCGCAATCAGAACCGGATGCAAATTTCCAGTCCGAAGTACCTGAAATCTTGTGTGGATAACACTTCGAACGTGGGTTTGGGGCTGGGGCTGCGATGGATATAGCGCCGTGGTGGCGTAGACGGTGAGCGACGTCGACGCTCCACAGATCTGGAGCGCGAGCGAAATCTTCGACGGTCTACCGACCTGGACCGGGAACGCGATCGAGATCTGGACCGCGAGCGACCGCGGTCCCGAGACCTTCGTCGATCTCGGTCCCGAAAGTCACGGTCATTTCGTGACGACCGCACTCGCTTCCGTCCCCAGCTGTCCAGCGACCCGCTTCGGCTTCGACTTCGACGTCCCATTGCTCGGAATTCCCACCACAATTGAATAGCGTAGTATCCGGATAACTCTATATTTTGTGCAATTTATGAAACTGCGATCCCTCTCACTAAGATGCAAACTCTTGCGCACAGTTCCACCACACCCCACCTACTTCAAACTCTGCAGTTGCACGCGTCAGCAAGTATGGAGCGCGTTATCTCCATGCTGCATGCGCACACACTGCTCTGCCCATCATTCCTGCGGCTCGTCAGCTGCGTAGAGGATTACAAGGTAGCTAGGTCGTGAGTTGCACTTCCCCAAGCTATCCTGGAAGTCTGTACTTGTATTTATATTATGTGTGTTTATCTTGTTAATTGTATGTAAAGGTTCAAAATTTCAATAGGCCGAAGCAACCCCACAATTTCGTCAGGTTCTTGCACGACTTGGTTAACCGGATCGTTTTCCACCAAAAAATGATCGTGCATTCCTGAACGATCTTCTCTGTACGCTAGGAGCATCGACGATGGATTTGACGACAGGACGACTGTGGAAGGTTGATGCGTTCGTTGGGCTCATGGGGGATCCGTACATCGGTGGCACTCAGTTTGAAGGGGGGCATCTCGCGAATGGACTCTTGATGGTGGGACACTTTCTGGCACAAATCGACGACGACCGCGTCAAGGCAGTTGCACAGCACTTGCGTGACGCCGTGGACTTGTCTCGATCGAAAGCGGGTGATACCAAGGAATTCACGACAGTATTGGGGGAATTCAAAAGGTTTCTGGCGAATATGCAAGTTGGCGTGCCGTACGTGGTCCCTGGTGGGTGGGAAGGCAAGTTGACTCGAAACGCCATCCTGTACATTGCCGAAAAGTCGACTGACGATACATACTCCCTCACGATCTGCAACCGCGGTCCCGGTTCTGAATACCATCCAAGTCGACCCGATCAGTTCAAGGTCAAGGTGCAGAGCTGCCCTACCATAGAAGGAATTCCTGCCAGTCGATTCTTGGATATGTCATTCTGGAGCATGGTGTTTGCGCTATGGTTAAAGTCGCCCCCGTCCGAGTACCATCGAGTTGAGACGCTCTACGATGTTCTCCTTCCATGGCTGGCGGACTCTGTTCTCCCCACTGGGTTCCGCGTCGACGCATCCCCGCACTTTTCTACTGCGACACGCAACAACACGGGCTTTGCCAAGAATGTCGTGGAAGCGGCCAAGTTTCTCATGCGAAAGCAAGGCATTGCACCCGCCGCCATCAAACGTATCATGTTTGACCTACGATGGGATATTGCCAAACAACTCCACAAGGACCTCCTCGTTGTTCAGAACCCGACTTTGCCCTTTCAAGACGTAGCAACCGAGGTATACTGTGCCATCAGCAGGTGTGGTCACAATGGACCTGACCTATGCGGTGTGTAGGTTATACAAATTTTGTCCGGCATCACCTTCATCGACTCCGTGCATGGCACGCATAACCTGTCCGCCTACGCTGCCGCATCGATCGTTGGGTTGTACTTTTCCAGTTCGACCTGTGGAGCGTGCAAGTCGTTTTCATCCAAGCTCAACAAACTCACTCAACGTGTGGGTGCCGTGCGATTCCCCATCATCGTCGTGCCGCTCGATGGGACGGCCGAAGAATTCGCAGACCACCTGAACTTGCTCCCCCCGTCCTGGCATTGCATTCCCGTGACCGAAGTTGATGCGCGGAAAAAGCTCGTGCGATTATTCCGCGTGTCTGCGATTCCAACGCTCATTCTAACGGATGCGACGGCGACGGTCAAGACACCTTTGGTACAGGCCTTCACATTATACGGTGAACTCAAACTACCTACTTCAGGGTGTAAATGTGGTGTTGGCCGACCAAAATGGCGAATTCTTTCCGTGGTTGCCCCCGTTCGAACTTCCCATCGAGCGGCTCAACGACACCGAGTCGACTTGTCTTAGTTTTGCCATCAAACAAACTGGGCTAGCAGCGCTCAAGCAAAGTGCCGCAGGCCGGCTGTCCACGGACGAACTTGTCGCGGTGCAATCCCTTCTTGCTTCCATTGAAGAAACAGCAAAACTACTTCAAGTCCAATCCGCTAACTCGGTGGCAGATTGGACTCTGACTAAACAAGTCCCCGTGCTGCCGTTTGAGCACTTGGAGCACTTTCAGACAACGGACGTTGATGGATACGCAGGCAATGTGGCGGAAGCTACCGTACCTGTCCTCACGAGCATGCTGGACATTCCGCAAGAAGTGACAAGTCTGGTGCAGGTGGCGACTGCTCTTCAACAATACGAACAAGTATGCCAAGGACTCATGCATCGCGCAGGAGATGGGTCGTCGTCGTCCCGGGTCGCGCTGCATTATGAAGTCATTCACGTCATCACGACACTGTTTGTCGAGATTCTTCCAGTGCCGCATCCGTCTAACTCCGATCTTTGGCGCGGAGAGATCACCAAGGGTACACAGTTGGATTGCTTGACCCGTGTGCACAGCCTCATGCTCACGTTTGGCGTGGTGTGGCAGTCGATTGACCATCCGTCGCGCAGCATGGATGCGACGCGGACCCTGGCCAGTGTCTGCGCGCTTGCAATTTATGATGTCCTTCTTCGTAACGTTGCCGTGGATTCTCCGTTGGAAGTATCGTTGATTGTTGCCGAAGGCTACGTGCTGGCGCATTCGTTCTGTCAAAACTCGAGATCCCTCGTGAACATGACGAGAGCGATGGAGCTTGTCCAGCCTTCGTTTAGTGTCGTGCGAGGCAGAGTGCTGGCCTACTTTGCTCATCAACACAACGCAACCCCGATATTCGATTTCCGCATGCCTGACGAAAAAGTCGAGGTCAAAAAGTACAGTGCCACGATCACGTTTCTGCGAAAGCTCATGGAGATGTACCAATACCCGCTGATTGACATAAACGACGAAAACCCGCCGTCTGAGATGGAAGCGCTTGTCGATTGGCTGACCAGCGAAGGGACGCCACTAGCCCAGCACCACCCCGAGTTTGCCTTGACGAGAGATTTGGTCACGATTGTCAAGTTCCTCGCTACGATGGAGACACAAGAAGACGAGCTCATGCGACGCCGCACAGGGCTCCGGCAGTGGCAAATGTGGTCACTTACGTTTGACGAAAACACGCGATTTCGCAGACGACCAGGAGGGTATGGCGGTGGAAAACTCAAATGGGAAGTGTCTGGCTTCCGCGGAAACGACCAAGACATTGCTGATATTGAAGTGAGTGGGTTCAATGGTCGCAAGTTGTATTTTGGTGAAGGTCCTGTTGTGATCAGCCCGACAGCGCTGCCTGCCCTGCTCCACACGTCATCGTCAGTGCTGACAGAGGACGACATTTTACACACGAACACTTTGCCGCAGTTTCAAGGCACTTTGTCCATGGAAGAATCGGAGTACTTACTGTGCTACTTGACGGTGCCGTACACTCGCATCCCACTTGTGCTCAACTTTTTCTCGTCGCGTGATCGTGTCATGTACCTCTTTAACACGTCCCTGCAATCGCTGTTGCGTGCGGTGTTGTTTGAAGGAAGCGATTGGGTGTACCGAGATCCTACGGAGACGTCGACCCAGGCCGACGTGATCACGCACGTTCCATTGCGCAAATCGACGTTGGCGCTGCAAGAAGATGCGCTCGAGCAAGCGATGGATGCTCGTGTTCACCACCAAAAGGCTAGCGATCACTTGGGCACGATGAACGGTCTTCTGCTGAACGAACTGTCCCACAGCCCCGACGCGACCCTTCAACCAATCTTGGCGATGCTAAAAGCCATCACGGAACTCGGCGACGCATCAGTGCACTCGTCGGATGCAAGTTTCTTGCTGTTCATGATTCACCTGGGGGTAGATGTTGTTAGATACGTGAGTTTTGCCGCGGTCGAGTACGCATCTGCTGCAGTTCAGCCAGTCCTCCGCCAACTACGTGCGGAATTGGTGGCTCAAATTCAAGATTTTGGCATGTCGACGTTGGAAAAGTGGCGCGTGGAAGCCGAAGAGGCAAATGACCTTCGCACGTCCTGTGTGATCCATTCGTACATCGCGTTTATCCACATGAACTTGCAAGTGGACGAGTACACTGTTGAAAATATCGCCCAACTAATGGGGAGTGTCTCGTACGTCCGAAATTGGCACTGCTTTGGGATGCGCGTCACCGTCGACGACGAAGACGGAAAGCTGTCGAGTGAGGAGCGGTTGCTTCGATGGCTGCAAGCCCACGGCATCGATACGAAGAACGTCGCATTGAGTTCGTTGGAAAAGTACTTGACTGACCGGCCGCTGTTCTTGAAGGTTGGGATGGATATCATTCAAGCTCCGAATATTCTGAAAAAGTCGAGTGACCAAGCGGCGCGATCACCCCCTGGATCTGTTCTCGAAAATGAGATTTTTGAGCTGTTGCAAGCCAAGCGGCGGTCCATTGTGGCTTTCATCAGCAAGTTACCGGCGAACGAAGTCAATCGTCTCCTTAACACGATGCTGAACATTGCCCTTCGAACGCCATCGGCTCAGACGTCGCACACTTGGCACGTGGAGTCAGGTCAGGCCGCCGTAGGGCGATACGTATGCGCGCAAGCAGAAATGAAAGTCGACTTCGAATCGGGCGAGATTCTGTGGCGCAATGATGAGTTGAAACCCGTGCCGGACTCAATGATCCAATTTTCCGACTACCGTCACCAATTCGGCCAAGAAGCGTTGCATTGTGGGCTTATTGCACGTCAAACACACCGATTGTGGATCCACATCATCGGCACCAAGTTTGAACTCATGGAATGGGATGAACCCACCGAGGATCAAGGGATTGGGACTCCGCAAAAGTACATTCGCCAAGCTCCGACATCCACCGGCTCGAAAATGTACTGGGAATGTCCAGCCTGTACGTGTGCCAACTTCAACGGCGACCAGCCGAACGCGCGCTGCGAAGTGTGCCAAAGTCCAAAGGATGCCCCGGCACCATTCTCACAAGATGCTCCGGCAGCGGAAACGCCCGGGGGATTCATTGTCCATAATGTTACGTACAACCGCATCGTCAATCCGTACTCGAAAGAGGACCACCCCGAAGAGTCGGAAGTGTGGGCCGTGGTTTTGGTTCGAAAGATTCTCATGGCACTCTTTCCAGAAAACCACCCAACCAAGAAGCTCCCGTGCATGTTCTTCTTGCCGGAAACCGTGCTCGCATCGCACGCGACGCAGGTGAAATTGATTGGGTGGCACGAAAACAACCCGCCAAACTCCGATTTCCAGTCGACTTTCAAGGAACTCGTCGTTTACCGCACCTATGGCATGGTGCACTTGTTTGCGTGGGTCAGCCACGGTCGTCGATTGTGTCGCAAGCTGATCTTCACGTCCAACGCCCGTTTGAGTTTGCACGGGTTTGTGCCGACAGTTGAAGGCCAGGGCCAAATTGACGCGAGTGTTCAGTTTGCTGCTGGAGATTTCATGGAATTGCAACCCGCAGGAGGGTCTCTCGTAATCATTCGTCGCACGCGCGGCATGGAGACCTACGTGCCGCCTCGCTTGCTCCAGGGACTTGTGCACAGCGCATTCCTTGAGTCGTTCAAGTTTTGGCTGGGCCAAGACAACGTCATTCGCGGAGAGCCGTTGGATTTGCACTCGCAGTGGTTTCGATATCATTTGGAGATAACGTTAGAGCCCCATGTCATGATACTGCGGAAAGCATCACCAGCAGGCATCGACGTGGACACGACCGTCGCTGTAACGACTCCATCGTCCCCTCCCCCTGCGCCGGTCACCCCAGCGGTCCCACCAGTTCCTGTAAATGACGACGACGTTGTGCAACTCATGGCCCTTGGGTTTTCGTACGCGGGTTGTGTCCTGGCGCTGCGAGAATGCCGTAATGACAAGGAAAACGCTGCCCAGTGGCTGCTCGACGAAAATAACCAAGTGAAACTCATTGATGCGGAAGCAACCATCATGTTGGCCGACGCCGTTGTGGAGGAGTCGGCTGTGCGAGCGTCCGTGAAGGAAGTCAAATCTGTTCAAAATACGTTGACCGACGGGGACTTAATTCTGATCAACCCGCTGAACGTTCCATCGACGGATAGCACAGTCGCATGTCTTTGCAAAGTGCTTTCGCGAGTGGAAGATTTATCGCATGTCTTGATTTGGACGAAAGACTTGGACCACGAGAATCTGGCGTCAATTGAATCGATCGAGTTGCCACGGCTCAAGTTGAGGCTCGAGCCCCGCGTCGGGTCAGACGATGGGATTATTCTACTTTACTTGGCCGACCAGCCAGATTGGTTTGTATGCTTGGACGTTCCATCATCGCTGAATGCACTGAAGTTGCCCAAGGATTGTCTTGTTTTTGCCACGTCACGAGACGAACTGCGCGTTCTTGTGCCAAATCACGACTTGTATCGGCCCATGGTGCATGGCGAGCCGTTTTCAACGACGATTGTGCCGAATCGAGCGTCCGCAGGCTGGCAGCACGTGATGGAAACGCGGTACTACTTGTACCCCGTCCACACGAGTCGTCGTTTTCTTTCGAGCCCGTCGTTGAGTGCTACATTCTACTTGATTTTGCTACACTTGATGGCCCGACAGTATAACGAGGCGGCCCAGTACATCCGAACGTCCCACATCGACGTCGAATTCACAGACGAAGAAGCGTGGATCTTCAATCAAGTCGCGAAAACACTCGACGACCGACATCCCGACGCCTGTGCGTGCAGGGTGCTCTTGAATTTGGCGGTCCAGTACAGCACCAACAAGTGTCCGTGGTGCGTGTCGGACGAATTGCACACGGTAGAGACGAGTGTCGCTCACGTGCAGTCGGACTGCCGACTCACGCTGGAAGAAGAGAGTGATGCGCTACGACGAAGTGCGAATATGTCGTCGCTGCTCCAAGCTCGCTTGGCCATCTGCCAGATGCCGACCCTAGGTACTGTGGTGTCGCTAAAACCCGCGCGGCTCAAGGTCGGTGGCCAGCCCTGGATTAAATTGAATATGCTCAGCACGACGTTCTTGAAAGATCATGCGTCTGGGCTGTCAAATGTGCGGTACAAAGCCCCTGCCGAGAGTTTGGTCGATGAAGAGTGCTTGAAGTTGGTGTGGGACCACATGGTGGTGGCCGACGAAGCCAGTGGGGCCAACCGCGGTTTAGGGTGCCTGTTCTTGTACCAGTGTTTCCAACGACGCGTCAGACTGCTCCTCTTCGGAGAAGATCACACGCGATCTTTGGCTGAACTGCTGAGCCGCTTGCTGCACTTAAAACTTGCGCGATGGGGCAAAGAAGTCGTGGACGACGGTGAGGAAGAGGCTGTGGTGCCTGTCGCAATTGCCCAACTTAGTGCAGTTCTTGCGAATCCGTCCCACGAATGGCCCGCATTACCGACAGACGCCAGCAGCGTGATGCAACTGGAACGCGGCATCAACTTGTATTCCAAAGCAATGAAGGATTCGATGCTCAAGCATTTCTTCGACTTGACTCTAGCTGAAATGGAAACGGTTCTCCACACGAAGCAGGACATTCCCTATCTACGCCAGCAGCTCAGCCTCGCCCACAAATGTGTGAAGGAAACAACGGTAACAGTCGTGGAATCTCCATTCGCATTACGCTTGGCCCCAACCAACTCGAGCTGCAACATGCGAGTCATCTCGTGCGACCTGAACCCAGTAGAACCACTGAAATTCTTGGACGCTACTCGCTATGTCGTCCACACCCCGCGAGAAAAGCAATCTGCTTCGACATTGCCTTTCAATTTGAGCCATCATCCGTCGGCGCAAAGTGTGGTGGCCAAGGATTTGCTCCAGCGGCTAGCTGAAGATGTCAAAAATCACGCTGACGCGATCAATTCCACTCAAGAAGTGTTCTTCAGTGGCATTGTCCGTGGGAACTTCGACTTTACAAAGGCACGAACTCAACTTGCACAACTCGTTTCGGAGTGCACAGTCCAAAGAACAAAAGACAAAGCTCAACTCGAAGCGAACATCCAAAAACTCGAATCGCGTATCAACAACGTGCAAATGTTTGCGACCGACTCAGCTGAGGCAAAGCTGGCGAAGAGTCGCTTCTTGCTTTCTCGGCAAGCCCACCAAATCGAACCCGCCGACCTGAACTACATCATCGCAACGTTGTCGTCGACGGCGATGGCGGGCGATCTCCAACAAAAAAACGCATTTTTTTCATCGACCGACCTGCCAGCAGTGCTGAGACTCGTGCAAGATGTGCTGTTTGGATGCAATCGCATCAATCAACTCAATCGACTCATTCAGTCCGCAGACAATTTGAAGCGCTTGACATATAGCGTTCATGTTCCGCACGAACGTCTGCTCCATGCCTCCCAGGACATTGCCCATCAGCTGATCGCGACACGATACTACATCAGAGAGCACAAGTTCGACCCGCGCTATTTGGTGTTTGAATATGTATTTGAGTTGATGCTGCGGTCCCGTCAAGTCGAGATGGTCGACAGCTTCATGCGGAGCTTGGGCAATGGATCATCGCGTGTGCAGCAAATGATCATGGGCGCGGGGAAGACAACTGTTGTGGGTCCGCTACTCACATACATGTTGGCTGACAGAACGGTCCTAATCACGCACGTCATGCCGACTGCGTTGCTTGAGCAATCGCGAGCTGTCCTACGCAGCCGATTCAGTAATGCGATCTTGGCCAAGCGCATTTTCACGCTGAGTTTTGACCGCAGCGTCGACGACAGCCCAGAGCTCGTGGTGAATTTGGCGACCAAGTTGATTCGAGCGTGTCGCCAAGGCGACGTGATATGCGCATCCCCCGAAGCGATCAAGTCACTCTTTTTAAAATTTGTCGAGCTGTTGCATTCGGTGGACGAGTCGACGTTTGATGCAGACTTTGACTTGCACGACGTGTCCAAGACGGGCCAGCGCATTCGAAAGCTCCTAACTGCACGGTCGGACATGGCAGATGAGTTGCACCGCATCCTGCGATTGTGGCAGAAAGGAATCTTGATCATGGACGAAGTTGATGTGTTGCTTCATCCATTGCGGTCCGAGTTGAACTTTCCAATTGGCAATAAGTTTCCCATTGATTTGGCCGCGAATCGATGGGAGTTGCCTCTATTCCTTCTCGACACAATTTTCTCGAACGCGAATGCGGCCCTCAACGACGCCCTTACGTACGGGTATTCTATCCATGCCTTGCAGCGGTTCCCCCATTTGGTACTGTTGGATCAAGGATTCTACCACGCTACGCTTCGGCCGCTGCTCACGGAGCTCTTGTACACTAACTGGCTCCTTCCCCACTTGAAAATGGGCAAGAACAACCTGACCAAGGTCGAAATTACTTCGTACATCGAGAGCGAGTCCCTCAAGTCGTTCGATATCGTCGACTCGTTGAGCGAACATGGTGTGAAACTCCTCAATTTGTCCCGCGACTGGATTCGATCGTTGCTGCCTCATTGTTTGTCCAAGATCAATCGTGTGTCGTATGGTCTTCTTCGCCACCATCACATGCAGCAGACGCACACGCCGTCGAGATTGCTCTTGGCCGTTCCGTTTGTCGGGAAGGATGTGCCGAGTCGATCTTCGGAATTCGCTCACCCAGATGTGTTGATTGGGCTCACAATTCTCGCGTATCGGTATGAAGGCATTCGTCGTAGCGACGCCAAGACAATTGTGTCCCAGTTGAAGCACGACTTTTCCCGGCAATTGGGCCCGAGGGACGAACGACCTGCTTGTGTTTTGTTTCGTTCGTGGGTGGTGGAAGGCCTCGAAACGACAAAGTCGATCCATGGCGTACTCCCGCTTCCCTTGTTCCAGCTCAACGATTCGTCGCAAGTGACACGGTTGTTGCAACTCATTCAGTTCTTGCCATCGGTCGTGCATTACTACGTCCGCCAGCATGTCTTTCCCGCGTGCATGAATTTCCAGAAGCTCAAAGTGTCCGCATGCGGCCACGAACTCGGGAGCAATAGTCTGTTTGCCCGACGGGTTGGATTTTCGGGTACCCCGTCCAACTTGTTGCCGTTGGATTTGGGCACGTGCCACTACGAACCCCAGTCGGACGGCAATATCTTCAGTGTCCTGACATCTCCCCAAGTCACGACAATCGAGCGAAAGCTAAACTGGACGGCGACGACCCTACTGCACGACATTGCGACGAGTGACCCGCCGTTCCATGCGCTGATCGACACGGGGGCTCTCATCACGGGCATGGACAACGAACAAGTCGCTCGGTTTTTGCTCAGCCATTTGCCCATGTCGATGGAAGGCGTGGTGTACTTGGACACGAGCGATCGCCAGATGATCTTGCTGCGCGACCACAACGCAGCGTTGCCGTTGATTCAGTGTGGTCTAAGTCCCGAAAAGCGGTTTACGTTTTACGATCAAGTGCACACGACGGGCATGGACATCAAGCAAGGCATTAACGCTCGTGCTGTGCTGACACTGGGGAAGGACATGACGTTCCGAGACTATGCGCAAGGCGCTTATCGCATGCGAGGGATCGGGGCTGGCCAGACTATTCACTTGTACCTTATTCCCGAAGTCGAGAACCGCATTCGGCAGGAACTAGAAGTCGTGGACGCGAAAACACTCGACGACTTTCGCTTGCACGTGCCAGCATGGCTACTTGTCAACTCGATGAAGATGGAGTCGATACAGCTCGTTCAGTTGTCACTCCAGGAGCTGCACAACATTTGGCGCACCCGCGCCGTGGAAGCGCTTCTTCTCGACGTGGATGCGAACAAAACGAGACACACGTCTGGCCAGCGCCTGCTTCGCTTTCATCAAACACAGGCGCTACGACCATGCGTTGATGCGTTCCGAGTGGAAGGATCGTACACCATTGCGGCGCAAGTACCAGTTCCCCGTGCCATCACGAACACGATCGAAGAACTGACGTCGCTGCATGCGAGTCTCCTCGAAACGACCGACTACGATCGCGTGGCCCAAGTCACTGCGCGTGTCGCGACTTTGATGGACATGTCGAGTGACATGCACCTGAACGCAGAAGTCGTTCATGAAAACGAAGCCGAAGCCGAGGAAGAGGCCGAAGAGGAAGCTGAGCAGGAGGAGCAAAAAATGAGCGCATACCTCCGCGACGACGAGCACCCAGTTCCATGGTCTGTAGATTCGTTGTTGCAGAACCCGTCACAGGCAGACTGGTCAACTGGGTCCCACGCATTTTATCCGCTCTCGTTGTTCCAAGCGCAGTCTGCTTGTCGTGCGATTGCGTTTCCTGGGACGATGCTCGTGTCCGACAACTATTATCGCCGTCGGTGGATTGGTCTGGGCGAGCGGCGCCTCAAGAACATTGGGTTCCTTATGGAGTGGCACCCCAATGCAATTCAATTGCATTTGAAGGAACGTATCGGAGTTCACTTTGTCCGACTGGTCGGGACTGGGTTGGGTCCTACGGATGCTGCAGCCCAAGCCATTCACCTCGCGTCCCAAGACCCGATTGAAAATGTATCGGAAGGGTATGTTGTTGCGATGTCTCTAGCTGAAGGGGAGACAGTGCGACGCATGCTCCACTGCGCCCATCCAGTGTTCAACAGCAGTCGTGTGCAATTGCACATGTCGGATGGCGCGCTGATGGAATCGTCCCGAGCGGGGCCATCCTTGGAAAATCTCGCACAGGTGCTGCAGTCGTTTCGTTTTTTCAACAACGAAATGTACTACACCCCACGACAGTTGACGGCGCTCTTGGGGGGACTTTCTGCGGTCCCCCTGCACCGACGCCACGAGTTTTTTCAGAGCACGTTGCGCCTGCGACGACGCGAACGACAACTTTGGGGTGACACGCCGTTGGCGAAGGCGTTCACAAAGGAAGACGAATGGCACTTGCTCAGTGCGCGCGCCAAGATGGAGCAGTTTCAACGAGGGATCAAGGCCAAGAAGATTGGGCTTGTCGCGGCGTGGCATCGCTTTGACATCAACAACCACGGACGGCTCTCGAACGACGAACTCTTGCGGTGTTTTGAAAGCTTTCAGCTCGGGTTCAGCCCAGGCGACCTGAACGAAATCATTGGGCTACTGGATGGGCAGCATGACGGCGTCACGATTGCTAAGCTCGCGCATGCGTTCGATGTGGACCTGCTCGTGGAAGCCAAGGAAGTAGAGAGCGCCGCCGATCGAGCAATGCCGTGGCTGTGTGCGGTTTGCACGTTCAAGAACGAAGGAGACGTCACGAGCTGCAGCATGTGCAGCGAACCTCGCGACCACGCGAAACAAGTCCGCGAAGTCGTTCAGACGTGGCAATGCGAGAATTGCACATTCATCAACCCCAACTCGGAAACCACTTGCGCCGTGTGCGAAATCGGCGTAAGCGGCCGTCGAGAAGTGCCTAAGGGCATGTGGGTGTGCGACCCAGACCAAGGCGGGTGCACGTTTTTCAACCCCAACACGTCGTTCTACTGCGACGTGTGCAACCGCGCCCGCCCCGACTTGTCGACCCATCGATTTTAGGTGGATACCATGTTGAACTTGTTTCTCGTCGAGGGCGTGTGCGAGATTTTTTCTGCTATTCGTGGCTCTCTCCAGCCTGTGGGTATGCGCATACCTTGATTTACCATTTGCTGTGATGCAGAAGAAAAAAACGCGAGTCGATGCCACTTATAAATTGCGCTGACTACGGCTCGCTGGTTGGTGCGCGCGTAGTGTCTAGAAGGGTTTCTTGGGCGGCTCTTCATCACACGCCCACGGGTCATCGTCGCCGTCGGCCGGATTTGCTTCGGGCGTGTCTTTGATGCCAAACGCTTCTTGGATTTCAACGTACGTCTTGTGTCCGGTTTCAGGCACGACGACGCACACAAACACGACGAACCCGACCAGTAAAGCGACAAAGATCAAAAACGCGTACGTGCCGAGGCTGTCGGCACTCGACAGCGCCGGGTAAAACACACCCACGAGAAAGTTGGAGACCCACGTAAATAAGGTGCCGATGCTGCCCGCGTTTGCATGCAAAAAATCGGGAAAGATCTCGGACGAAACCATCCACCCCATGGGCCCGATGCTCAAGCAAAATGCCCCGACAAACACCCCCGTCGACGTGACGGACACAATCGCGCTTTTGTACACGAGGGACAACATGACACCGACGGCAGCGATTGCCATGACAAACATACCGCCCATGAGGAGCGTGCGGCGGTGAAACTTGTCCATCACGTACGCCGCCAGGATGATCATGGATGTCCGTACGACGTTCACGATGGTGTTGCCGACGCGAGGATCGGTCACCCCCGCTGATGCAAAGATGCTACTCGAGTAGTACATGACGGCGTTGATGCCGCACAACTGCTGCGCCGCACACAGGACGATCGCAATGATGAGTTGGGTGCGGTACTTGGAAGAGAACATGGCTTTCCACGGATTCACGCCAGCAGTTTCCTTGCGTTCTTCTTCGTGCGCGGCGATGAGAGCGTTCAAAATGGCCTGGGTGTTGGTCGGACGATACAAGCGCGACAGTTCCACACCCGCTTCGTCAAAGCGGCCGTGGGCCACGAGCCACACGGGACTGAGGGTCACGAGAGGCATGAGCAGCACTTGCAGCCCCCCCAACACGATGGGGAAACCCACGAGAATGCGCCATGAAAACTCTTCTGCGTTCAGCGCGTAGTGCGCCGTCGTGACAGCCAGCGACCCGACAGCAACACCGACTTGGAGGCCGGTGGAAAACATGCCACGCATCTGGCATGGTGAGATTTCACTGATGAGGACGTTGCACACGTTGATGGCAGCACCGGACGCAATACCCGAGATCATGCGGCCAAATGAAAACGTGTAAATGTCGCTCGCGATGACTTGAATTGTGGCGCCGACAATCATCACGAGCGCGTTGAGAAAGAGCGTTCGCTTGCGACCAAACTTGTCGGCAGGGTATCCGCTAGCCATGGCACCGATGGCCCCACCGACAATCCACGACGTGACAGCCATCGTCCATTCCGTGGACGAATGACGCGGAAACATGATGCAGCTACCGACAGGGATCACGGAATCACTGCACTTTGCGTTGAACGGTTTATAGTTGAGCTGGGACAACAACCAGCCAAATTGAAATGCTCCCATGAGGGCGATGCCGACTGTGATCCAAAGCACGGCAGACGGGATGAGGGCCTTGGAGTGTTCTTCGTGAATCATCGACTCGAGACGACTTAGACGGACACGCGACGTGGACCGGCGGGACGCGCGGAACGACCGTGCGCTCGATTGGGACAGCGTACGTCTTGACAAGCCAGTGTCCCGGTTGTTGCTCTCCGACATGCGCGAATGTGGCGAGTCTTGGATCGGCACGTACACGTCCTGGTCATGTTGTGGCTGTGGCAACGTCGCTGCCGGTGCTGGGTCTGGTTTGGTCGTGGGCTCGGCCACGAGCGGTTCCTTGACGGCCCCTTGCGGTATCTCTGCCATCCTTCGTCCTCTGTGCAAATCGCGTAATGAGGCAAGAAGGGTTTCCGCTACAGTCGTGTAACACCCGTCCATTTGATTGGCTCGAGCGGCGAATGTACCTGGCTTTCTCGATTCGAGGTTCGGCCACGGCCAGATTCAACTTCCCTGGATACGTGCATGCGTTGCAAACAAGAGCAGCAGCGCAGAGGAACCCGTCGATGCTACTCGAGCGGCGCGCTGTCCTCTGTGCGGGACGCATTTCTTCGTTCCAACGACGTCGGTTGGTTCGTTCCTTGGGGTCCCCTGCCGTGGAGCCTATGTTACGAATTGCACCTGCTGGTTCGTCGACTCGGTCGAAACAGTCAACTAGGCAAGGCGGTATCGTGGACATGCCGTCCACTTGGACGGCATGTCCACGATGGGTATATTGGGTATCGACAGCGTGCGGCAGCACTGCTCGAACCCGTTGTGGCGTCGGCGGTCGTGCCGTCTCGATGGCATCGCCCCCGAGCAGTCCACGATGCAGAGCCGCGCCGTGGTCGCATCGAACGTGCTGCACCTAGTTAGTTACTGCATCACATTGTCAACGATGTGTCCTTGTTGGATCATTCGCACCCCATGGAGGCTGAAGAGGGGGATGCACCCAAAACGATAGGCCTACCAAGGTCTAGGCCGAGCGCACACAAGATATATACTACATGCACAGCGAGCGGGGTCGCCGTCGACACCCACAGAGCGCTTCAAAAACACGAAATGGGAGCGCACAAGGATATGTGCCATGTGCCGGGACCCTCGACTCGTCACCCTTCCAAGCATGCACCGCAGTTTGCCGAGCATGTGACGACGGCACATGCAGCAATGCTTGCGGAGGAAGAAATTCCTCCATCGAACATCCCATATGGAGTCGTCATGTATTGAAGTGTTACGCTAGAGCCGTGAGGATGGCTCGTGTCCGGTCGAGGGTGCAAACGTGCCACTGTAATCCCCTGTCACGGGTGCGATGTGGACTCGGCCGATGCGAAGCTGTGGTGCGAACTGACCTGGTCCCGTCTCATGTGTTTCACTCTATGCGACAGCATTCGACCCATGGACGGCCGTACAACACCATCGAGGGAGATTTGAATCAAGGAGCGTAGAGGTGGAATCGCAAATCCAGGATGGACAATGACCAAGCGACCTTTCTAGAGAGCGATGCGGGGCGTCTCATGGCGCCCTGTTTGTTGAACGAAATGGTCTTTTTTGTAACTTCTAAACAACCATTCCCGTGGAGAAGGCACGTTACGAACATCCACTGGATGTGCATGGAGGCTGAACATGACCCCCCCCCGCGCGCGCCATCGTCGTTGGATCGATCTGCCAGGATATCTCTTGACATTCCCCTCGTCATGGCTAACACATGCGTCATTCTAACGGACGAAAGAAGTTTCCATCACCACCATGGGAGAGCCCTTCGTCGCCGCTGATCGCGGACGAGAGACACTGCACAAGCATATTCTCGTTGCCGTCGTATCACATCGCGTCTCCACCATGATTTCCGCGCCTACCCTAGTCGCCGACTTGTTGATTCCTCACGAACCTGGACACGACACACCGCTTGGTGGCCCTTGCAACCCCATGCAGGGCCTCATATGTCTTGCTAGGCGGCATGCGCAACTGTCCACTTGCACAAGAGACGGATTGCCGAAAGATAGCGAGGCACAGCGTTGCCGCCGCCGGGGCCGCGACCGACCGCCAACGTCATCGTTCACACCTGTCGCGAGATGAGATCTGATTGGGTTGATTATAGCAAATCATCATCCAGTTTGCACTTTTGCAAGTATTTGATTGGGCAATCATTCTACGTCTTGACAAGCCGACGGCATGTCGTATCTTGAAAGTCGCGTGCATGTCCCATGCATGAGTCGGAGAGATAGTTCAATGCGTGTTGCAACAGCGCTTCGAAGCAGGCGAAGGGAAGGTCCATGCTGTTGACGTCAGTCCAGCTCAAAGCCATGGAGAAAATGATCTCTTGAGCTCTTGTGGCGCAAAGCCATGGAATATGATCTCTTCAGCTCTTGTGGCGCAAAGCCATGGAAAATGATCTCTTGAGCTCTTGTGGCGCCGCCGACAGCAAGCGACATCTCGCTGCCTCTACTCGAGATCCTGTGCTCACGGCACAAGCATTCACCCGAGCTACCTTGAAGGAAATCGAATCTCGTTCACATGATCGCATGGAGCGCATTGCAGAACGTATGGATGAGACTGAAAGGCCGTGCTTGGACAACCTTTCCCAGTCATCGTGGTGGCAATACCTGCAACATAATGAACGTGCAACTGCGACTGGGAAGAATGGGGGGATCGCACATGGATAAACGGTGCAAGTGCGATGCATTCGTTTGAGACGTGCGCCATCGCCGTGCTGCATTCCCCTCAGCGCACGTTTGGAAGTTGGCACAACCTGTCATTGATGTGGAATTCAACAAGAAACGCTACATTCAGACCCGACGGCTCGGCGCGGCTTCCTCGTTACCACGCTGGTTTCGTCGTGTGTAGTACCTGGGCCAAGTACATTTTGCTTTGCGCGCACTTCGTCAACTCGTGCGGTCGTGGATGTCTGGGCCAGTGCTGGTCGAAATTCTGTCAACGCGAGCATAATGATGCTATTCCAGACCGTCTGTTGAACAATGCCCGACCCTCCCATGGCATTTAGCAGCTCATTTCTTCCTGCGCATCATGGGAAAGTTGGTCACGCATGCGATGGCGCAGAGTCCTCCCAAGTAAATTGACGTTATACTGTTGGCCATGTTTGCCAAAGTTCTTTCGACCTCCTGTGTCGAGATGGCGCACCTGATCCAGCACAACTGTAAGTTATTCAACGCTTTGGACGCTGTTGTCAACCCATGGGAACTGTAAAGTTGAAAATGCCATTAGCGAGCAAGCTCAAGTTGTGTGTCGAACATGCCTTGCGTCACGTTCGATGCTATCCGCTTGGGCAGCCGAAACCTTTTCAACTTGCAAAAGCTCCACATATGCAACAATGGGACACGCGCCGACAGAAAGGAGCCATCCATGGACCGCCCAGGGACGGTAATCGAGTCATTGTTTGCATCGTGGGTGCTGTGCTCCAGAGGACTCGGGGTTAAAATTTCGTCAGAGGTACAATTCGAATACCGGCTACGAGACTCAACATAGAGTCCACCAACACACGAACACCGTTCTTCCCAGACTGGCTTCACAAGGCGAACAGACGTCACCCGATCAAATCGACATGCGTCGGCGTCAAGAGAAATGGAGTGAGGTCCTCCTGGATGAAACCATGGGGTAACGACGAGCGAGCGACGCGTACTTCGGGAAACTTGTGGTTGTTCAAACCGGCCTGTTAGAGTCTATACTTATACAATTCAATAACTTGTTCCAATTAATACATATCAACCATTGTCCATGTGATCTCAGCAACTTTCACGATCGAGCGTCACACTCTAATCGGAACGGAAGGTGCTCGATCGAGGGATTGGACATGGCACATGTTTAGGCGGCAGCGCATGGAGGAGCGTATATCCCTCTTGTTCACACAACGATCCTGTTGCTAGCATGCTTCCTCATGTTGTGCGCATGGTATACCTTTTAGTACAATACTAGTAAACGATGGCAGTAGTAGTACTACATTGGCATACAACATTCTCATCGGGGTTGGGAGAAATTCCAGAGTGTTGGTCGTCTCGATCTCGTCCATCGTCCCACGGCATTAACGGACTTGTGCCGACGATGTCCGAGTTCGACAGCGGAGACGATGATGAGTACTCGTACACGTCGGACGGGGACGATGCCATTGAAAACGCAATGGAATGGACCTCGCAGCCCACCCAGCACGAGTATCAAGTTGTGGATCTCGCGGTGCTCGTGGCCCAACAAGCCCAAACGATTGTCGACACAGCAGACATGCTAAAGGTGTCCAAAGACGTTGCCATCATCTTGCTTCGACGAAATGGTTGGAGCAAACACGCTGTGCAAGATGGGTATTATTCTGCGGAGTCTCCGCTCATGTTCTTGCAGACGCACGGAGCTGAGCATGCCGACAAATTGGAGTTGGGTGCCGACCAAGACCGTGTATGCCCTGTCTGCGGCGACACTGTGAATCGGACCAGTATTGCCATCATGGGATGTGGTCACGGATACTGCGACGATTGCTGGACAGGCTACTTGCAAGCAAAGATTGAGGAAGGTCCGTCCTGTGTCTTGATAACGTGCATGGCCTACAAGTGCGAGGAGGCTGTGCCTGACACGCTGTTTCGAGAGATCTTGAAGGGGGTGAGTCTCGATCAGTACATCAAGTGGCATTTGCGGTCTTTCGTGGACCAGAATGGGTCGATGACATGGTGCTCCGCTCCCAACTGTGGTTACGCGATCCGAGGTGACGGTGGTGAATGTTTTGCTACGTGTGTGTGTGGGTTCGCCTTGTGCTTGCGCTGCGGCCAGGGGGCGCATCCTGCCGTCAGTTGCGAAATGCTTCGTACGTGGACAGAAAAGTGCACCGGAGAGTCGGCCAACGCAAAGTGGGTGGTGGTAAACACGAAGCCATGCCCGAACGCCAAGTGCAACGTGTGAATCGAGAAGAACCAAGGATGCAACCACATGAAGTGCAAGAGATGCGACCACGATTTTTGCTGGGTTTGTCTGGGGGCGTGGCAGTCACACAATGGCAGCGGCAGCCCGTACTCGTGCAACGCCTACAAGGCCGACACAAAGGACATGATGACAGCGCGTAGGGAGCTCGAACGGTTCGTGCACTACAACGACCGATTTACGAACCACGAGAAGAGCGAGGCGATTTGCATCCAGCTCCGCAACGACGCAATTGCAGAAGTCGCCTGGCTGCAGGACATGACGGTAGTGGACTTCCACAACGTCCAGACAGCGCTTGAGCTATTGATCGAGTGCCGACGCACCCTCAAGTACACGTACGTGTTTGGTTACTACATGGCCGAGAACGGATGCCGCGACGAGGAGAAGGCGCTGTTTGAGTTTTTGCAGGCAAACTTGGAAGCCAACACGGAGATCTTGACTGGGCTCACGGAAACCCCCTTGGACAAGATGAACATCCAGCAAGTGGTCAATTTCACGGCCGTCACCCACAAGTTTCTCCGCAGATTCCTCGATGGCGTCGACGATGGCTTCTGCAGTTAGGTCGAGCAACAGGAGCGGTCTATATTTATATATGTCGTGTTTGGGAAAGCGATTGTGCATTGCAACTTGTTTGCCCGACCATGCTTGCATCCGCGCCGCCTCACGTCGACGTCAACCGCCGACGCTACCATCTCGAGTCTGTCAGCTCCCTCGATGCTTGAAATAATCGAAGCCTGCAAAGGAAAGTAAAATCTTTTCAACGAAGCATTAATCGTTGAATCGCTGCTACCTTGGCGACGGGTGCCGTGGTCGCGGCGGTGGTGGAAGAGAGCCACTTGATCCGAAGCGGATATAGCCTGCGACACCGTGTGGTTTCACCGCATGTGGAGTCCCTCGCGGCCCCCGAGCAAATCCACTTGGCGTTTGCTGGCAAGACACCTGGGATTGTCATGACCGTGACATGGACGACGAGGCAAGCCGTGGAGGGACCCCAAGTGTGGTTTGCCTTGGCAAATCAAACCCGCGCCTCCTTGAATGACATGCAGGTTGTTTTGGCATCGACGAAAGTGTACTATTCGGAGGGCGACTACTCCCTCTTCAACCACTATGCCACACTTCCAGGGCTGCTTCCCCACAAGCGGTACGACTACATTGTCGGTAGCAAGGTGAGACTTCTTTTTCCGTCTCTGAAGCTTTGAATCTTGACGCCTCTCTTGACTCGTCAGAATCCAAACACAGTCACTTCCACACGTCACACGTTCACCACTGCGAAAGGAGCCGACGCCGACTCGTTCGCCGCCGCGGTGTACGGCGACATGGGCGTACTCAAGAGTGACCATTCAATTGCGTATCTCAATCGTATGGACGGCGTCGATTTCTTTTGGCACATTGGTGACACCTCGTACGCTGACGACGCACTCGAGCACCCTGGCACCGACAAAAATGCCTTCATGTACGAGCATGTGTACAACGAGTTCATGGAGAAGCTCGCACCAGCGATGGCATCGCGCGCGTACATGGTAACCGTGGGCAACCACGAGGCCGAGTGCTACTCACCTGCGTGCCTCCGGTCCACATTCAAGAAGGATCACCTGGGCAACTTTTCGGCGTTCAATACACGATTTCACATGCCGTCGCAGGACTCAAACGGCATGCTAAACATGTGGTACTCGTGGACGCATGGGCCTGTCCAGTTCATCAGGTGCGGTCTTTTGTAATGCTGGCTCGCAGGTCACAGCGACGAGCTCGTAGCGTCAACTCCGAGATCGACTTCCCTGGCGCAGTCCTAGACGAGCAGACAGGAACCCATCACAACGGCGGGTTTGGAGACCAATTGAAGTGGCTTGAGCAGGCGCTTGCCTCCGCCAAACGGCAACGTGACATGTTCCCGTGGATTTTTGTTGGCATCCATCGGCCGTTGTACAGCGTGTTCATCGAGAACTCGACGTACGGCCGCCTGTCGCATGTCCGGAAAGTCACGCGAGCGCTGCAAACTGCATTTGAAGCCTTTTTCCTTGAGTGCGTTCCCTTGAGTGTTCATCTTTTTGTTCTGAGCAGCGACTAGGTATCGTGTAGATGCAGTCGTGGTGGGCCACGTACACTCGTACGAGCGCCACGTCCCGATCGCTCACGGCCGCGCCGTCGTGGACGGTGTCAACGCGGCAAAAACGGGATACGACAACCCGAAAGCCCCCGTCTACATTCTAACGGGCGCCGCGGGGAACGTGGAAGACCTGACGCCATAGTTGGAGGACGAAGGGAGTCACCCGCCCGAGTGGAATGTCGTTTGGAACAACTCAGTCTATGGGATCGCGACTGTCCGATGCAATCGCACCCATGTGACTTGGGCTTTTATCGACACCACCAAGCGCATCACCGTCGACGAATTCACGATGGTCAAAACACTTGCCTAGAACCAAGCGGATGAGCGGAGGAGGATGGGGGTAGACAGGTGGCTTGGATCTGGCATGGTCACGTTTGAAGCGAGCAGTTGTGGACTAGCTAGATGTTAATCCGTACGACTTAGGCATTCGATTGTGACGTGGCACTTCAGCTTGCTCGTCGCAAGCACGGATGCGCTGCAGAAGAAACGATGTTGGCCACATTTTGTCCTTGGGATTGCCAACACGCCGACAGGTCTCCGTTGGATCTTGGACCAGTGCATACGCTCCCAACGAAACTCGACAATCGTGTTGTGATGTATGTATTTCTAGGTCGTTTTTGTCTTCTACGATTGTTTTTCCTACAGCACGACGACCGACGTCACGTCTTTAATCAAGTCCTGTTGGACTTGAGTCCATCGCTGGATGCTTTCTCGAAGGAAAGCTTCTTGGTGCTCCATGTACATGAGGTTGCTCGCGCGGTTCTGCTTGCGTTCTTTGGCCGAGATCGGTGGTCCTCCGCGGTAGGCGAGTTGTTGGGTCGGCGGTGCTTGGCGTTGCTTGAATGCAAGAGGTTGGAGCTGCTGGTCTCTTACGCGATTTCGAAAGATTTCGGCAAGCGTGGATTTGGATGGGATCGGGCTGTCGGACGTGACAGGATTCGACCTTGGCGAGGCGGCTTCTACGAGAGATTCGCTCTCGTGAATGGTGCCCACCCGCGGTTTCTTGTTTGGTTTGGAAACGTCTTGTGCAGGGTTTGCCGATGGCGCAGAGAGAGGCACGACGGGCGCACCAGACGCCGTACGCTTGTTCGACTTTTGAATGACCTGAGTCGCATCCGGTCCTTTTAGTTTCGACGGTGAAGAGATTGGTTCGCCAGTCTTCTTAGGTGTTTGACCTTTTGCCTTTGCTGTAATAGCAGATTTTGTGGTTGCTGCCTTTGTAGGGAACAGTGCATTTGATACGACTGGTGGGCTGTCTGACTTATTCAACTTGATCGCTGTGCTTGGTTTTGTCACAGGAGGAGCATTGCCTCTGGCGTGGCGCGAGGATCGGCCTGAAGAGGAGTATTTGGCAGGCTGTACTGAAGATGCCGGCAGTTCATCCATGGGAGGATCCGTGGGGACCTCTATGCAAGGCAGGAGTCGCCTGGATGCGCGACGAGCTGGTGGCAGCGGCGACGACTCGCCAATATCCGCCAATTGTGGTTCAGCCTTCACCTCGGTGTTCACCTTTCGCTGACGAGGAGGGCTCTGGTGCGCTGGTGGTGATGACGACGGTGCGGAGTCGTCCGATCTAGATTCGTTGGCGATCATCGTGCGCGGTGAAATGCGGATCGGCGCTTTCTTGACTGGCGGGACTGGCAGTTGCGGAGACAAAGTCGTTGGGGCAGCTGCGGACGTTTCCGATTCCTTGGACAATTGGCGTGACGGAGCTAGCGGAGCTGCTGGCAATTTTGACGGATTGCGCTCGACGTAATTGGGGTTCAGGCGAAACAGGTTGGACCGGAGGTTAGTTTGTTTCAAACTTTGTGGGGTTAGCGTGGCGTTCTTGACGCGCGACCCGTGCGCGACGATGGACGAGAGCGGCATCCAGTTGTCATATCGCTTGTGCCAGCCAGAGTAATGGATCTTCAGCAATCTAGCCGACACGTTGACGTCGATGATTCGACCTTGATTCCAATGTCCTTGGTCGTCCTGTCGCCGCACACTCAGTGAATATCGTACGCAAACAAACCTCGTCAACCACGCACCTTGCAGTCGACCATAACACCAAGACCCATGTACTTTTCCTCTTTCTTCTTTGACGGCGGCGCTGATGTGTCGATCATAGCCGACGAAGATGTGGCTTTGTCGTGAGGAGTCGTCGTCGCCAAACGTAGCGACGTCCGCCGACGACTACTGGTGGCTCCTTCATCCACCTGGTGTAGCTTCTCCCTTTTGGCATTGAGTTAGGCTTACATACGCTCTTTCGTCACGGAAGTACCTTGGAGACGACTCTGGGGTTTGGTCCATGGCGGTGGCGCAGATGTGCATGCAGATGCGTTGCCGATACCGATCTGACCGGAATATGCACCAAACGACTGTTCGAAAGATCGGCCGACCGGATATTATCCGTACACCTTCGTTGTCGAAAGTCAGCTCGTTGGTTTTGCTGTGACGGAGTCATAGCGGGAGACATGACCTTGAAGCAGCAAGAAGGTGTTAACATATTCAATTATGTGCTTCTTTAGCCACTACCGCAGTAGATCTTTCTACCTACACGACGTCTGGTTGACAGCAGAACCGCTTGGTCACCTTGAGGAACACAGCTTGGCCGTAGGGGATGTAGGACAGTGTGTACCACGACAGCGCGCAAAATTGAACTAGCACAGTGACGACGACAAGTCCGGATCGATGGGGAACGTTTGGGGAAAAACAAAGTGCGAGGGTGACTCCAATGAACGTCAAATAGATTGCAGCCGCCACACGCCGCTTGGCGTGGAACATCGACTTGCATTGCGACACTGGGCCGACAAAGAACATCGTGCATCCAAGCGACAAGAGGTTTCCCAAAGTATAGCATATCGCAAAGGGAGCTGGGCGTCCTGCTACAAGCTGGCCGAGGCGAACTGTCGATCCAAATGACAACATCATGCCCAAGACAAAGCAAATCCCACACCCAAGAAGCCGCTCCTTGTACGACAGTCGAAGGGACGGACATGACACTTGATAGTCTTGGTCTTCGCTCTGGGATACTGTCGGGGACGCCGGCTCATTGTTTCCATCCAGGAGGCGCTTGCCTTGCTGCTTGAACGACTCGAACATGGCACTGGCGGCTCTGCCTGCTGCCTCAAGCAATCGTTTGGCGACTTGTTCGAGATTTCAACTTTAACCGGATACCGGATAACAATCCAGACTCGCATGAAACTGGGATGAAACCGTTCAGGTCTGTGAGCGAGCGAAACGATCGAGTGGCCACGTCACCTGGGCAGTGTCAGATAGGAGCCACATGCCGTCGGACGCCCACGTCCGCCGATGTTTTCGTTATCTCTCCAAGGAATTCGAGGCCGACGATGTGTACGCTGAGTTTCAGCAAGTGGACGTGGACGGCAAGGGCCACCTCAAGCGAAGGTGCGTTCTGAAAATGCCATTCACGCTGCCTTGGTCTGGTCAACCCACACGAAGTGTAGAGTTTTCGTTCAAACCTTGACCACGCTTGTGGGAGACGCCAGCAATATGTACGTGCCGCACTCAATTGCTAGATTCAAAGCTACCACTCATCATCTGTACACATCTACAGCGACGTCGACAGTGTCGCGGAGACGTTTGAAAGGTCGAAAAAAGAAGTGAACTACACGCAGTTTTGCCACGAGCTGCAAGAATACAAGGAAGAACATGCCAAGTCGAAAGGCGAGTCATCCAAGACCAATGACAAACACAACCCCCCGAGGAAGTCGTACTCGATCGACGCAGCAACAGAGGACGAGTGCAGCGACGACAGCAGCAGACGCGGACGATCTCGAAAGCAGCATGGGAACGCCAAGCACGGGAACGACTCGGACGACTTGACAAAGCGCACCGTGCGTATCGACCATCGATTGGAAACGCATCGCGTGTTCAAAGTCCGTGTATATCGGCACTACAACTGCACTTGACATTTCTGTGCGGTGGGGTAGGCGTCGATTCGACACAAGATCCTCCATGGTGTCAAGCGCACGGCAGCATCGGCGGCCAAGCACGGGTTTGATAGCATTCGCGATCTCCTCCTACGCCAAGACAGAACGGGCGAAGGGACGCTGGATGAACAAGTGTTTGTGGGTACGCCCCCCCGTTGTGACGCTCTGCCTTTCAAATCGAACCAAATAAGTGTGTTAGGCACGTTGCTGGACAACATGAAAGCCCCATTGACGCAGAAAGAAATGGCCTACTTGACGGTCAATCTGCGCAACAAGCGGCAACCTTCCTGCATCAACTACGAACAAGTACAGATGGGCATGCCATGACCTCTCAACAAACTGCACGATGAACGTAGATCGGGCACTTTCTGTGTGTTGACAGCGAAGAAGAAGCGTCGACGTCTGGGGACGATGACATATCCCCGCCGCCTCGTCGTGCGTCGAGTTCCAACTCTCCGTCCAAAAAACAGCTCGATCAGCCTCATCTTGGCTCGGACGTGCTCAATCTCGAGCGCGATTTGAAACTGTTTATGACGCAGCGCGTACCCAAGACGATCGATGGTGTGACGCGGGTGGCGTGCTGCCACGTTCCCAAGTCGATCTTCACAGGAGCGGAAAAATTTGTCGAGGCGTGTGAGCTGTACGACCCCCTCGAAACGGGGGGACTCGCCGAAGACGGTGAGAACGTCACACACTTCATGGGGGCTCAACGCAGGCATCCATCGAGCAGGGTACGAAAAGGTGCTCGCGTTCTGCGGCCTCACGGTCACCCGCGCGCAACTGCGGTCTGTTCTGTCCAAATTCCCACGCACATCCCAAGGCCTTGTTAGCTATGCCGCGTTTCTCGAGTAAATTCAATCTCAGCACGCATCAATGTCCCAACGAGTATGCGTTCGATAGACGCTATGGCCAACACTTGGCGACCGTGAGGAACCACAAACACATGAAAACGATTCTCCAGCGCCTCGCTATGGACCCCAACCGCGACGCGATGGCCCACTTGACGCAGTTTCGCCAACAAATGGAGAAAATCGATGCCCGCGTCACGGGGGTGCCGACAGGGATCATCTCGAAGAAGGGTATTCACGTTCGTTCACCGTCATGAGACACTGATATGCCGTTGTAGATTTCATTGCATGCGTGACGAGTCACAACAGTCTGCGGTGGCCCAAGCAAGACACGGAAGCGCTGCTGCCACTCTTCATCGATCCATCGAAAGCCACGAAACACAAAGATGTTCGAGTCGTCCATTACCCCGAGTTTCTAAGGTGAACAATGCTCATATCATTCGGCAGCTCGAGCTCATGGACTTCCTAAGGATGTTGAAGGACTCGTCGTCGGACTCGATGCCCGATCAAATTCCGTGCCACTGCACCGACAACCTGTCCAACGCGTCGAAAATGGACAGGCTGCACGACAAACTGTACGAGTTCTTGCATGACCAGTCTCGTGGCGTCGGAACTCGGGGCCGCGACATTGCCGAGCATGCGTTTGAATCGGCCGACAAATTGCGCCACGGGACATCCGCCACGGTGTCGGGGTATCTGACCGAGCGCGGTAAGAAGCCACGTTCGCAATGGTGACTTTGGACGGGTGAGGCAATGGCTCTAGACTTTTTTACGGTCCTGCGCACCATTGGGGCAGGCATTTCACCGGCAGAGCAGCAGTTGCTCTTGCATGCACTGTCCCAGGCAGGCTACATCACGTCACAAGGAATCGCGTACCTTTGCTTTCTGCGGTACACCCCCTCCCACCCATGCCTTTCAACCTGGCATGGTCTCATCGGTTGTTTTGGGGCTGCCAGGCACTTCGACGTGCCGGTTCAGCGGACCAAGAGTCCGCGCCACCACCCAAACTCCGTCGATGTCGGCAGCATGTGTGTCGGAACTTACTTGGCAGACCATGCGACGGCTCAAGAGCGAGAGAATTTTGAGGCGATTCTCGCTACCTTTAGAAAGATGCAGTTGGAACCGGTCGAGTCGTCGGTGACGTCGAGCCAGCTCGTGTACCACCTCGGTCCTGTGCTCAAAGCGTCGTTGCAATTTTTTACATAATTCCAACTGTTTCTATGGGGGGTGGATGGGTTCAAAACGACAGCGCCCGCTGCCGCAGGAGACTTTCGCGCTCGTTGTCGCTTAGGCTGTCTGACTGGCTGTACCCGCGACCACGAGTGTATTCGACCGAGGTGCCGTCGGTGATATGCCTCGAAATGACCGGGCTGAACATCGCCGGCGTCGACACACTTACAAACACCCGCTCGAGGACGTCAAGTTCTTCGTCCTTGGGCGAATGTAGTTGCGACTGCCGGGCCGCGACTGTCGCCGCCTCGTCCCAGTCGACCTTGTAAAGCGCTGCTGCAATCAGAACAAACTTGGTGGATTCGCCCAAGATGCTGCTGATCCAGAGGCCGGCGAGGCCCCAATGGCAAGCCACCCCCAGGATAAACGATGCCGGGAGGAGCACCACCCATGACCCCGTTGCCGTGATGCATAGCAGCGTGTTGGCCTTCGACATGGCTTCTGCCACGCTAGCAAGAACAATGTGCAGACCCGAAATACCCACGGCAATGCAAAACAAATAGAATGTCTTGGCAATCAAGGCTGTCAGTGCTGGGTCTGGCGTGAAGAGGGCAATCAGGGGATACAGGAACAGATAAAACACACCCGCCGACCCGAACGCCGCCACGCCACCAAGGGCAAACCCAATCAACATGGTGCGCTTGGCGGCATCTGGGCAGTTGCCCCCGAGAAAGTTGGCGACGCGGACTTGAGTTGGAAGGCCAAACCCCCAGTAGATGCTGTACACAAGGTTCCACAGCATATATAGGACACTGTTCGCCGCCATGTCAAGGGACCCGAGGGAGCTCGCGATGGCCGTCACAACTGAATAGATCCATTCGTCCAACGCGACATTGAGCGTCATGGCCATGGACAGCCAGATGAATCGCTTGACGCGATCGGGGCGCAGGCACGACCACTTCCATCCAAACCATGTCTTTTCATGGTATCCTTTGTACCAGCACGCATATCCAAACAACGCGAGGGGCTGAAAGACATCCGCGACGAATTGCGCCAAAGGCGACCCGACGAATCCAAACCCGAGTTGAAACATCAACAGATAGTTGGCCGCAATGCAGATGGGAACGCTCAAAAAGCTCACGACTGTGCCGGGGGTAATTATTTCTTGCGCTTGAAGGTATTGCCTGTTCCAGACATAATCGTGAGGGCGTTTGCGCCAAGCATGTGATTCGCCTCGGAAGGGGGAGAAGTACCTGAGGGCACAGTTGAGGCATTGGGGCCACACGCTGAGAACAGAATAGCGGCAAAATACGACGGCAAGCTTCAGCGTTTCTGGGTCGCTGTTGACCATCGCCAAAACAGGTTCCACGTACAAGAACGAGATGCCCATCACAATGGAAATAACGCTAAGTGTCACCACGCCCAGCTGAAACCAAATACCAACGAGCTCGTAGTTGCGGGCGCCGTACGCTTGGCCACATAGCGTGCAGAGTGAAACGGAGAACCCGTAAATGAAGATTTGCAAAGCTGACACCCAAATGTTGGCCAATGCACTGGCAGCTAGTTCCTTCGATCCCAAGTGGCCCAAGAAACCTGCCGTAATGGCTGGGAGCAAGGTACGACACAACGTGGCGAGACTCACTTTCCACGCCATCTTGGAGATCACAGCAGCTTCGGACGAGTACGTCGTCATGGCATGTTGCGCAATATCTTGCACGCGGCCGTAGAACGAGTCCGACACTGGCGACAGCGCGTTGTGACCGTCGGAAGATGTGGATGACGCAGTGTGTGGAGATTCCGTGTACTTTAACGAGTTGTTCTTACGTTTCGACGTCTGCAATCGCAGGGAAATGGGGCTTGGCAAGGATGGAGTCGACGGCATCTTTGTTGGGCTGCCATCGACAAATTGAAGGAGTGCGGTGGCATTCCATCCAACTTCCCGGTATCTAGCAACCCCTATAAAGTACTCTGGTACTTTACGGAGCATTCGAAATCTCATTTCTATTTGGTTCGGGAAATATCTTTCACGGGTGTAATATAAAGAGTCGCACTTAAAAGAATTCTCCGGACGTTTCTCACCTCAGCCAATCAGACCGCTGCCAAATCGTCTATTGGTGTATATACGTCGAAAGTGCTCCAAAAAACAGCAGCAAGCCCAACCATCCCAGCTCCATGATATCGCTGAAGATCGAGGAAGAGTGGAGTCTTGTCCGCCCTGGAGTGTACAACGTGCAATCTTGAAATTCTGACGAATTACAATGGGCTTCAGACGATATGTGTTGAACTTTTTTCATGACCTCACATGGCAAGTTGATTTCTGATTTTGGAATGTTTGTTGGAATTTTAAAACGCGTTTTTATCGCAGACGCGTTTTGTTTGCAATTTATGGGTAGTATTGTACTACTAGTACATTTCGATGCATGAAGTTGGGTTTTGGCGGAAATCCACTGACGACGTGGAGGATGTGCGGCCACATCCGGGACCCCTCCAAGACCAAGCATGGCATGAGCAGAACGCAGACGTGGCGCGAAAAGTTATCTGGTACCTGAAACATGCTGGATTTGTCGAGTCGTACGAGATGGGGTACAGCTTTTGCCGCATCAATCCGTCGTGCCCGCCCAAAACTCTTGGCGCTTGCACCTTTACCGACGGCGTGTACTGTTGGCCCGAAGGGTATTCGCACTATCTCGAGCAGCACCATGTCGTACCACCGAAACAATTCATTGAGCACGCTCTTCAACACATCGACGAATGTACGGCCAGAACTCCACTGCCTTATCTACTCATGTGGGATTACGAAACAAACGGCCCTATCCAGATGCCAGCTATAATGGAAGCCACGGTCCTTGCAAACACGACTCTGAGACCAAGACGGCAGCAGCGACCTGCATGCATCACGTCGTAGTAAGAAACAACACTACTTCTCCTCGATGAGTTTCTCTGCTGCACCGCAGAAATTCTGGTGTTGTCGAAGGGCCCTCAAATCCTCAAACGTCTTCGAACAAATCGAACACGCGACCTTTTCCACGTGTATGGGCTGCAGGGTCGTCCAATGCTGATCCAATTCGACTTGGGATGCGAACGAATAGTTGCAAATGGCGCACGTGAACTTGGCGTCTCGAACTAGTGTCTCAAGCACCGGTTGACTGCGATGCCAGTCGGGTCGAATGGTGCTGTCTTTACCATGCTTGGCCAGACGATGCTGGGTCAGAGCTTCGTTGTCAGCAAACATGCGGCCATTGCATTCAGTGCACGAGAACTTCATCTCGTCCGTTGAAGATGATCGCTTTCGTTTGAGATTAAGTTCGTGCACCATTCGCATGTGTGTCTTCTTTCCTTGTAGCGTTGCAAAACGCTTCCCGCCGCACAAATCGCACGAAAATTCCCATGCTGGATTGCCGAGAGACAACGCAGGACGATGCGCGTCGACAAGTTGTGCGGCTGCTGGGCCAGTGGGCACGATGGCAATGTCGCCTTGGCGACCGAATCGAAACAGTGTGCTTTCTTGCTGAAGCTTTTCGCCATGTAGGAGGACGTGGTGAAAGCTCTTGTCGCTTTGATGGCGCTTCCGGGTGTATCCTTTGGGCGGCGTCCACACAGACTGCATCGCACACGTGAGTCCAACCGCCGTCGCTCGCGATAAAATTTCCCACCGGCTTGGCTGATCTCTGGCGAGTGTCACGAAAATGAGGCCTTGGGGTTTGAGGACCTGGAGTGCGGCGTGGAAAAAGTGCGACAACAATCGGCGGTGTCGATGGACGTCTTCAACACCAGTATGGGGATGGTGAAACACAATGCGATCGAAGTGGAGCTCTGCAGATGTTGCAATCGACGACAGACTTGTAGCGTCGACGTTGTGTTTGACGTGAACGGTGATGTATGCAGCGTTGGCCGTCGTTAGATTTTCAATGTTGGACGCTGCCATTGCATACTTCTCCAGAAGCGACGACAATTGGTCGTACGTTGTGGCTGTAAGATCCATCGAGGGCGTATCAGCGACGTCCAAGTCTGCCCAGTTTTCCTTGTCCAAGAGCGACCTCGAGTACGACAGATCGCCGTCTCCCACCGTCAGAATGCGCACGTGACGAGCACCCGTTCCATCCATCACGATTGGTTCAACAACAGTTATATGTCAAAACCATAAATACCATAAAATCGCACTTTTTCCCCGAAAATCCTCCCCTGGTGACTTTTTCGCGAAACTCGACAACTGCATAGGAGGAAATACGAAAAATAGACCAATGAGAGAGAGTCCTTTTTGAGTTTTTGTAGGTTGGCCGATTTATGCAGGATTAAAATATATGATCGGCCGTGCTTCTTAGAAAATCTTCAATATTTCCTCAACGCATTTTTGATCGAAAGAATCGACATTTCAAAATCGACTCGGTGCTCAATCAAAGGAAGGAGCAAAATTTGAAAATAGTCAATTTGAAATTGTGTTCGAGAATTATTGCAAACACTTGATTCACACGCAGCTTCGTTTTGACCATGCTGTGTCGGCAACTTCATGCGGTTGCTCGTCTTGGGCATTCTCCATGGCGTCAGTCGACGCTCCGGCCGTCGTACGCTCGCACAAACTTGCTCAGCTACTATCGTCGCCATCTTACTTCTACATCGAATGCAACCGTCCCACCCCATCACCTAGCCGACGCTGGATATGCCGGCCTGGGCTTCATCTCGGTTGGCATCCTCGTCACAAATGCCTCCACTGTCGACGTTCACTCGATGTCGATATTCGACTTCCTTGCAGATTCAGTGGATATGGTGTCTTCCAGCGTGCAAAACCAGGTACTTCGACCTCCTTGACCGCTTCATGAGTGACAGGACATCTTGCGATCAGTGGGAAGACGAGAATCGCCGACTTTTAATCGCGTTGATCGCGACCAACACGGCTGTCTTTGGGATGTGGAAAGTGGCTCAGCGGCATCCTGGGCTCGCCAAGTTTATGTGGACGCACTTTGCGTGTTCGTTCCACGGCGTCGCGTCCGAAAAGCGAGTGCACACGCTACTGACGTCAGCGTTCAGCCACCAGACACCCCTTCACTTTGGGATCAATATGTTCATGCTGTGGCATTTTGGGTCGGCAGTTCTTCCTCCGACGGACCACAGATCGCCCTTCCGCCGCCAATCGATTTCAGACGCGTCGTGGTTCAAGTCGGTTGTGAAACAATTCCACTACGCCGTACACGAACCCCGAAGCTTGAATAGTCGAGAGTTCACCAAGCTCTATTTCACCAGCGCAATCGCATCGTCGGTACTGAGTGCCGTGGTGTCAGGGCTGCGGGGCATGGGCCATGGTGCGCTTTCATCATCTATACGTCACATGTGTTGACTTTCTCGATGGATAGTGTACTCGATCGGCGCGAGTGGAGCAGTGTTTGGTATTCTAACGACCTACTGCTTGATGCATCCCGACCGTGAGGTACGTGTTGTGTCGATTCGTTTGGGACCGAGTGGTATATGGATACCTCACCGTGTAGCTGTTGCTGTACGGCATGCTGCCCCTCTCTGCGGACGAGATGCTGAAGCTGTCTGTACTCATCAATGGCATCGGATCGGTCATGCAGCATGCAAAGCACAGAGCACTCTCTGCCGTCGTGCCAAGCGTCGATTTTGTCGGTCATCTGGGTGGTCAAGCTGCCGCATATGCGATCGTACCCAAGTAGCTAGCATAGGCTTCGTGCGGCCCGTTGTGACAGTCGCCCCAATCCATCAATAGAGCTGTCATCACCAATGCGACCTCTAACACCACAACCAAGTCTTCCCCCTAAACCAATGCAGTCCACGGCACCATCACCATGGAAGGTTGTTTACCTCTCGGGTACGATATCAAGGCACCACCATCGTAGCACCGGAGAGTGGATTGTACGCGGTACTAAGCTGGACAAATTCAATGCACTGCTTCATTACCCACCCCTACGCGTAGCAGATATGCATGCTCCCAGCACACATCAGTGTGCCCCATATCAGTAGTGACTTTGTCCAAAATCCGACCGAAAAATGGCAAAGTCTCGTGCAACGACTTAAGTGCAAGCACATCACGCTGTTCATGGCGCCGTGCATGCCATCCTGTAACTCGACGACATTCAGGAGGATGTTATGAGCACATTCAGAATCGAAGGATCCGACAAGGCATTCATTGACGTCGACGACATCAACTGCTCCATTTGCTACGAGCCCTCTTGAGACCCCGTACAACCCGTTGCTGTTGGCAATATATCTGTAATGATTGCATCCTACCATGGCTTGACGAACATGAGGCGTGCCCATACGACGCCTGCACGGAGGTCGGACCACCGAGCTAAGCCCTCGTCAACGCGCTGGAACACCTTGACCATTCATGCGACTGCCTGTGGTCTTGAAATGGCTAAGCTCCAAGTCTGTCCTCTTGTGAATTGCAACATGCATCTGTGGAGGAGCGACGAAAACGGTGCCACGAGTCTGGTGCCGCGAGCGACGGGACGACAGTTCCTCCAAGAGCACGCTCCCTGATGCATTCATCGAGGATTGATCGCCCAGCCTGAGTCATGTGCGAATAATGGAGCCAGCTTTGCTGCGGACAAATCATCCAACAAGGTGCAAACTTTCTCGAATTTGACCGAAGATCCCAGTTTCCCAACTCGCCCCAAGTCAAAAACCTTCAAATGCCGCACGCTTGCCAAAATCGCAAATGCCTTTCCATACCTACAGCTTTCGTACATGACTCACGAAGATAGGAATTGCTGCCTGTTGTGTGGACAAAAGGCGGGGCATTACCACGTTCGCTTCGTTGTGGAACCAAAGTCGGTCGGTGCCACGACCTGTTCGCTGCAGTTGCCCCAGTAATCGACTACCTCACGACGCTCTTTGGCGTGTCGTTGGTTGACCGGATTGGCCATCCCTTGGTGCGGGCGTCAACACAGTGCTTCATGTCTTCGCGAACGCTTGCTAGGTGCGCCGGGTTGCATGACTCTCTTGGAATGTATCGACCCACACGGACCCCCTGTCAAATCTCGCGTAAACTCCCTGGCCAACTCATCAAGATGTTCAAGGGGTTCAGGCGAGTGGTATTCTTACAGCTGGGCGTCTGCATGGCCGACGTGCGTGCCTTGGTCCGGCACTGGAGACTCTTGACGGTGGTTGCGACTGGTTGTGGCCGGGGAATGGGCCGGTGGCCGCGCTCCTTCCAAGGAGCTACTTGTATGTACAGCATATTGACGATTGTGCTTCTGCCCCTGTGTGCGCAGAAGGGCGGGTACGTTTTCATCAAGTTTGAACCCACGTGCTGTTAGAGTTCAGTAGGTGTTGTGAACAAGAGCAGAGAAAATTTCGAGGCACATGAAACAAACGCATCAACGAAGGCAAAAATGGTCTAATCCGTGTCTGTATTGTATCGGCACAGGGCTGCTACCCTACAACACACTTGCCTGCTTGAACACCTTCAATGGGACGCCCTTGGACATGAGGCGGAGGAAAACAACGTCCTTTTCCGAATATTTGCTCTGTCGAAAGTTGATCGCGTGGAAGTAGTCGACCAAGCTCGTGAGCTCTTCCGGCGTGTACGGGTGCAACAGCTTGCGCACGCGCTTGTACGATGCCTACCCACACACCCGTCAGCACCTTCCTCGGTCAGAGTCCAACCAACACCCACCTGCTTCGAAAATTCGTTCTTGGTCGGGTAATTTTCCGTCGTCGCGGCAATGAACAGCCCGTTCTTGAGCTTGCGGTCAACGCGGTATCCCGTCGCATCGACGTCGCGGAACGCGTCGACAATTGTGATGTCCTCCGCCTTCACCGGCACACCTTCGTACCCAAACACAGTCTTGTGGAACCACGTGTTGTACTCGTCGATTGCAATCAGGACGGGAAACTCCGTCACTTCGGCCAGTTCTGCCTTCAGATCCAACACGGCCTTGCACGTAAGGAGTTCATCCTTGAGCCCGCTTTCGCAAATGTCGAGCAAAGTCAAGTCGCCCTTGTTGTACTCGGACGCTTTCTGCGCCAGAAAATTCAATCCTGCACGTACCAAATTGTGGTGATGTGCGTACCTTGGGCTTCTTGATAAATGTACGGGGGTAGTACACATCGCCATAGTCGCCGCGAAGGGGCAGCGACGCCAACTGGTCGCCGTGGCATTGGATCAACTATAGCGCAGGTGAAATTGAATGTCCGTGAAGTCCCAACGCAGTACCTGCTTCAAGATGTCGGCGCCGACAACATCGATGTCGAACTTGCCTTCGTGGTAAGCAGCCTTCGTCACGTACGGAGCATCATGGGTCCACGATCGCGCGTGGGGCACGTGCAGCACAATCCAGCCATTTTCGCGGGCGAAGGTCACGATTTGAATCAACGACACACTAGGCAGCGATCCATCTAGGATGACATGATGTGAAGATGACAAGAAGCATTACGTTTTGCCGGTGCCACGTTCGCCATCCAACACAAACGCCTTTTCGGGCCAACGTTCCGGCCAGCTTTCGGGAAAGTCTAACAGAGCAATCATGGATGCGTCCGAACCAAGTCGACGGCTCATGGGGCGAAACTTACTCGACATGGCCGACAAGATGGTCGCGACAGGCTTGCGCAGCATAAAGTGCTTGTTGGGTTCGACGAGTTCAAACATTTCCTTGATGCGCTTGGGCAGGCTATGAAGGTGGCAGTTATGGAAAGTTTCAACATTAGGACAACGCCACGCACCCCGAAGGAAAGTGCTTCTTGATCTGTTCGTCCGTCAAGGCGAAAAACTTGTTGACGTCCGTGTCTTTGTTGGCCTAGCATGATAGATGAGCGCTGTGGGAACAAGGCGCGTGAGGCCATGTAACATTTTATGTTCACCTGTGCAATCGAGTGTTCCGCAATCACGCTCGTCGAGACGGGACCTGTTGGCGCAGCGGCAGCAGCAGCAGCTACAGCAGGAACTTCCGTGGAGAAGGAGGCCGCCGTGCGAGCAAGGAGCCGCGCCGGGCGGCGGGACAGGATTTTCGACAGCATCTTCACCGAATCAACCGAAGCCGAGCACGCCACCAATTGTGCATGGCAACCACCATCCGCGTTCGGCGCGTTTCATTGGTCAACAGATGGCTCGTATAAGTACTCTTGTTCCTCTAAGTACGACTAACATAAAGATTTGATTGGGTGTTTGATTTTGATTCTCATCATGGATTGGCCCATTCATATGTTTCAACTAGGTTGCGTCCCGCGCGCCGAGGTGGCCGGGCGATGTTGCCGTCCTGCGATAGCTAGCCGCCGTGCGCAAGCTTTTGAATCTTGTAAGCGCGAGACGAAACTACGCGCGCACGCGTGCAGTGCTTGAAACTTCGAAGAAGTCAACGATGGCTACGTTTGCATGCTGCCGTCGTGCGGCGGCCTGAGCAAATATCCATCCGATGACTTGGCGACGCGCTCATTCAAGATCACATCGTAGTTCAAACTACGCATGGCTCTCGTATTCGCAAGTATGAATCGATGTAGAGTACAAGCGACGGCTATAGAGAGCCGAACACGACGTTCGACAGAGAGCCCAATACGACATTCGAGCGTTGAGGTCGTTTTCATTCGGTAGACGGTACTTCGAACGTGCTGTGTGGGACGCACTCGTGCGATTCGGCGCGACAGGTGAAGCAAGCCGCCGTCGCTACGCCTTCGAATTGAGGCATGCTGTTGTCCTTGTCACCGATGTATGTGTTTTCAGAGGTTACGAAGGCGTCAAACGCATAAAAATACAGAATCACACAATTCAAAATACATTGGAGGAATTGTCCCCTCAAATGTATTTAATTTCACTTTCAATGAACACCTGTGAGAATTCATGCGAATGGGATTTTGGCCCATCTAGCAACACAAACGAAACTGCAAATCATCCAAGGACATGCATCGTCTGCCACGAGGAGTGCCGCTCCGCGGTGGGGGTTTGCGATGTCGGCTCCGACGATACTTCAGTAACGACAAGAAAGGCGGTCATGCTTCAGGTCACCTTCCTCCCCCGCCACCAATTCATGTCCCTCCCGCTCATACCACCGTGCCAGCGGACATTGTGGCCGCATCGCAAAACCAGTTCCAGCAGTTCCAGCAGCTGTACCTCAGGATGCAAGACAAACCATGGGTATCGATGACCATCTGTACCACGTTATCTCAAGAATGTGTGGTAGAACATGTGGGGGTTGGGTCTTCTCGGCGTCGGAGTGCTCGGGGTCATCGCATTTGGTCCCGAAATGCGGAGTAAGATGACGAAAACGACCGCCGAAGTTGCAACAGAGACGCTTCAAAACGAGTCGCTTCAGATTCAAACCCAAGTATGCGATCGTCTTCTCTTGGCATGTTTTCCCAACGACTACTTGTCGGTGTCGTAAGGAATTGGCATCGCAGATCGTGCAAACGGTGCTGAATGACCCCAAAGTCCTCGATCAAGCATCCCAGTTCCTCCAAAAGGTACAACTCTCAGGGTCTTCCTTTGCTCATCGCCTCCATGTATAGCTCATGGCGATGGACGCCACACGTGGCGCGATGGTGCAGTTGACGAGCAATGTACTCAACGACCCTCAAACTCTGGCCCATGTTACCAAACTGTCCAAGCAAATTCTCTTCAATCTGTTCCAGGTGCTGCAATCAACGCATGGACTGAAATCCACTCATCTGGACAACATTACGTGGCTCTAGGACCCCGCGACGTTGCGCCAATTCGTCGACTTGATCAAAGCTGCCATAGTGGACCCACACACGCGTCAAAATGTGATTCTCCTGCTCGACCAGCTCATGAAGGACGAACCGACTCGGGCGCGACTCACGGCGCTCCTGGCGTGGACGTTTGTTCAGCCACCCGTGCAACATAGCGTGTCGGCCACCATGACGAGCTCTGTCCACAACGTGATGAGCAACAAGGATGTCCAAGACCATGCCAAGGAGTTTATCGGTGGAGTTGTGCGCGACGAGACTGTCCAGACCCAGAGTGGCGAAGCTCTTTGGAAGACTCTTATGTATGTGCTGACCCCAACGTGGGTATCGTGGTTTTGGAGAACGCCAGCCCAGGTGGAGACGGCCCCAGTCTCTGATGGAACATCCCTCACGACGATTTCCCCAGCCTCGGCCACAACGGCAGAGCCACTGTCTCCTTCTGTCGGGGCTGAATAGAGCGACGACACTTGCAGTGTGTGGCTCCATCGCGCAGATGTCTTTCTGGTCATTGGGTTGACTTCCATCGAGAAAGGAAATAGTGACAACAAGGAATTAGATCCAAAACCCAACGACTTCGCCGCATATGCACGTAGTCGAGATCTAGTCAGGGAATACATGGGCTGCATGCAAATATAATCAATCGGTCGCACCTTTTGCTTCGAGTCCTCGCGCCGCAGAACTTTGGACGTAATCACCGCGATTTCCTACACGACGTCGCCATGAAAATCATATTGACTGTGGACTGCGTACGTCGCAATGTGGACAAGTCACTTGGATCGATTCGACTCGATGCAGACATTTGTCGTCTTGCGTCGACGCGACGCGCAAATTCTCGACATTCAGAGTAAACTCCATGTCGCCGTTTGGAGCATTCCACGAGTTCTCTTTTGATGCTTCCACAGGGAAAGGGTCGTCCGAAATTTCATCGACATCGTTTTCGTAGTCATCGCTGTCGTTTGCGGTCTCACCAGCGTTGTCACCGTCCTCGTCGTTCGTGCCTTCAGCTCCACCTGAAGACTCGTTGAGACTACAAGTCGGCGATGTAGATGAACGACGTACACATGCTGAGCCGAAGGTTCAAGCACATGGAGCGATATCGCCTTGCATCCAACAACACACATTCATTGGAGCAGTAGAATGCGTCGCCGCACTTATCCACGCATGATATGGTTGCCGCCGAGTCGTCGCAAAACGCGCAGGACGGAGCCTGTTGCTCTCGTTTCTTTCGATTCTGCGCGTCAAAACCTGTTTGAAGCTGATCGAGAAGACGATCGTCCTCCACTTCACTCGCGCTCTTGGATACCATGCCGCGAGATCCCCATCGGAACATCGAGCTGCGGGGAGTTGTGCGATGCCGAAAGTACCTTGAGCAGCAGCATGACAATGTCAAGAACACAATAAATTCCCAAATTTTGAGCAATATTTGAAGAAATTTATGAAAATTGGAAATGCTTGTCCAAATATGGCAATTTGACAAGAACAGGAGTTCGCGACCTTGCAGCATTTCGATGCACGATCGCACCTTGGCGATGGAAGCTGCGATGTTCAGCCAGTGGCAGGAAGCATGTGGTGGATAGGCAGGGAAGCTATGGCTTTGTCGGAAAAGGTATCGGGTCTTGCCGACGAAGAGCTAAACCCAATACCCGATGACGTCACCGAATGAATGCTCACGACAAAGACAGGCCGATCGTATGTGAGCACTCTTGAGTAACACGAGACATGAGATGGATGCGGTGCCTGCATTCTGCTCCAGGTCGTCTCTGCTGGGAACGCGGGGTGTTGCGAAGGCAGGTGCCAACGAGCGAGGGATGTAGGTGAATCAAGGAATAGTGTGGTGAGTCATACGTCATATTCGGGACAAATCGCATTGAATGCATTCACTCTGAAGACAGTGCAGTCAATTAGGGATGCTGTTGTTGCTTCGCAGTCACACATTGCAAATCGACATTCCCTGTCGTTGACCTGGTAACTCCGTGGGTCTTCGCCTTGGCCTAAAGCGGCATCAGAATGTCTACCCTTGCAGGTTTCATCGTCCGAACCTACAACAACGTGAGTGCACGGTGGCAATTCTTGGCAACGTTCTATGGCTCAGGCGAACGGCCAAGGAGATTGCTTGGTGCCGCTTCGCGTGCATCAGTACGCAGTTGGTGGACCATTAAAATGCTTTGCCGCACTTACCCATGCACAGAATGGTTGGAATCGAGACGGCATCGTGTGAACAAGACCGGGATGGCCCCACGTCAAGCTGGCGTCGACCTTTGGTGCACAGCGTCATGTGCAAGACGTCGAATAGACGATCGTCCTCGACTTTGCTCGCGCTCTTGGTCAGCGACACACCACCATGTGAGTTCTCGATGCAACGTCTTGCCTGGTCAACCAGAAACGTTAAATTTCCAGCTACGCATGGATGAAATGGTTCTGAGACGATGACAAGGGGGTTCTACCGTTGGTCAGCAACACAGCGCCGGGCGATGCTATACTGCGCCCATGCGCGAGTTGAATGGATTGCCTGTTTCCTACTTCTTCATGCTAACAGCATCAGGTCGGTCCCAGGCGGCAAAATATCATGGACATCTTTTGAACTTAGGATGTCCTGTATCCGGTGGGCCGGATACGATTCCCGACACGATGGAGAACGTGCAGCGAAGAGCTTGGCGAGTTGTGCAGCGGCACTTGGCGCTTCAGCCAGCTGAACGCAACCCAATCGTGCATGCGGCGTTGATTGGTGCCACGTGGGTGTATGCACAAGTGAGTTCGCAGAAGCGGCAGTGGCTGTTGAGTCGTCAACGAGCACTTCCCGTTCGGTCCATCAGCTTTGGGAACGTCACATGGGGAGGCACGGGTAAGACTCCATGCCTGCACCACGTGGCGCGTATGTTCCACGCAAGGGGTTTTGACCTACTTCTCGTCTCGCGCGTATGTGCCCCCTTGTGACGCCTGATTGAGCCATGCATGCGTTCGAATGTAGGGATATGGCGACGATGAATGGAAAATGTTTGCAGCTGAGTTTCCTCATAGCCTCCTCGCGATCGGCAAGCATCGCTACGATAATGCCGTGGCGCAGCTATCATGTTTCAGGAGGTGATATTTGGGTCGTTCATGAACGAGTGTGTTGATCTCACCACTGGAACAAGGTCACGAGCGACAGAGGTGGCGCGGTCGAGTCAGATTGTCGCCCTGATTGATGACGGCCTCCAGCAATGGCGCCTGAAGAAAGACCTCGAAATCATCATGGTGGACTGCTACAATCCCTTTGGCAATGGTTTCCTCATTCCAGCCGGTCGCTTACGCGAGCTACCCGAAGTGGCACTTCCATCGGGCGATATCGTCGTGCTCCATCATGCCGCCCACTTGGAGAATGCTGCTCTCGCTCAGTTGCAAGCTACCATTCAACGGTGCACTGTGTCGACGTGACTCTTTCTGAAGTTGTGTGGTAGATGGACGCGGCCAGACACGTTGATTGCGCACTCCCGCATGCGCTTGACCAGCCTTCCCCTGGGCATTCACCTCGACCAGCATGTTCGCAACCGGCATCAACCACTTGATGCCTCGCTTCTATTCCACGACAACTTGGTCGTCATTGGCCTGAGTGGCATTGGGTGTCCACAGTCCTTTCGAGACATCCTTCACACTACCTTCCCCAACGCGGCCGAGGTGAAGGTCCATGCCTTCCCTGACCATTATGCTTACTCGGCGTGCGACATCCGCTCAATCGTGGACACAGTTGATGGTGAAAAGGCAAGTGGGCGATCTGTGGTGATTATTACAACCGAGAAAGACTACCATCGATCCAAAGAGTTGCTGGATGCCCATCTCCCCGACCTCCGCGTGGCACTTTGCGAGTTGGAGTTTACATATGGCGGTGATGAGTTCAAGAGGCGTGTGGAGCGACTTCTCAATGAGTAATTGTATTCGGATCAAGTAAAGTGCCTCGAATCCATCATTTGCTTGTATGGGCCTCTTCCAAACAAACGCCACACGGTACAACGAATTTTACCGCCTCTCAAGCGTAGCCTTGCTGCGCTTTACATGAATATTTTGTCAAATGACGTGTGGATGAGGGTGTTCATGCTGTTGCTCAAGTCGGCAATCGAGTCGACGGCCTTGGCATCCACGAACGCAACCAGTTCTCGTTCGAGGCTGCCGGAGCGTCGTACGATGATCCATCCATCGGACGCTGTTTTGGTGAAGATATCCATGATGCCGTCGTCTCTACGGCATTTCGAGGCGTCAAGGATTACACAACGCTTGGAGGATTTGTACGATGCTAAGTCGTGGCGCACATATTTGAGTTCGTCGAGGAGCCGCGGGTGAAAGCACGACGCGACAAGGCGTGGCGGAACTGGTCCCTGCGATGTATATAGTCCATGCATGAGTGTGTCACGACCATGTGAACAATGGATGGTACTTTGAAATTCCCAACGTTGTGCAGATGCACCTGCTTGGTCAGTCGATTTAAATGTACAAAGGCGCTACGACCCAAGCATGGACAGTGAGTTCCTTTGAAAGACAAGGCAGCGAAAATATGATCTCTACCTTGACGATTCGTGGGGTCCCACTGGCGCTGCGCCATGAAAAGCACCCACATACACGCTCTGACGTAGATGCCATCCAACATCTGCAATGAGACCTGCACAACCACATTCACGTGTGGAGTACAAAAGGCAGCGGCACCTGATGAGGGGGCGTGAGGTTGGACGCACAGGATCAATGTGCACGCAGCTTCCTATCGCCCATTTCATTCGTCATTCCTTGTGAAAAATAGCTCCCACCTGGGACGCGCTGCCTCCATTTTATAATGGGAAAAATTAGTTCTTACATGCCACACGACCAAATCCGCCGTCGCCTCGCCATCACACGAACGGTCAAAGAGCGGCAATCGCCACAATTTGTCCGGCCCCAGGTCCTCCCGAAACATGCCGTCTGTAGTCTGGAACCCACGAACTTCGCTTGGCGAAACAGCGCTGGACGATGTGCTCGCAATTGCGTCGACCAACAGATCCTTTGCGCTACAGCTTTCTTGTCACGTCGTCCATGCGGAAGAGACGTACCTCGTTCGTTTCTTGAATGGCTGCAGATCTCCATCAATATATGTCTGCTTGGACGCCCAGATGGGCTTAAGTGAGTCTGGGCACGGTGGACGCAGCCACGGTGGCAAGATGGAACCAGGTAAGCGAAATTTCGACACATGCATTGCTTGTTGCTCTCGCAACCGCAGAAATCGGTAAACGAGCTCAAGCTGCGCAGGATCCCATCCCCCGCCACATACCAACTGGCCTAATGCCACAATGAACGAGGCAATCATGTCGATGCTGTACCATGGAGAAAGGAGGCGCAGTGGAGGACTGCCGGCACTTCCGAATGCAGCGATTGCGCGAGCAAGTGACCGGCCATTTGGAGCATGCAGTCAACGGGTGCAGTACAAATCCCTACGACATCAAATTGAATGAATGGTAATGGCTAGAAAGCGTACCATCCAGGTCGTACAAGCATGTCAGGTTGTGCACGTCAAGATTCGCCAAGTACACTGGAAAGAACGCAGTAAGAGTTCTCTGCAGTTGATATGCAGGTGACACGTCGGCAAGAAGATCTGCCCATGCTTTGAGCTTGGACAAGTCGGCCGTGGCCGTGGCGCAGGTCTCGGTGTCTTTGTCATTCTGGATCTTGGAAATCAGCCTAGCGTTTTCAGTCGTGATGTGTAAAAGATCTACGTGACACGTACTGAGTCGTCCTGCGGATGTTCTTACGGCAAGCAGCCAATTCGAGCAAAATGGCCATGCCAGTGTGGAGCCCCGCATCCAGCACAACCTGAGGGCATTCCTTCGATGGGTCGACGGAGTCGAGCGCACTAGTCATGTAAAGTGGGGACTTCCGATTGCAGACATGGGATTACCTGGCAATTCCCCCGTGCAACAGGAAGAAGGACGAGTACATACCGCGCAAGAGAGTTTCCATGATGTACCTGTCCACGTCCTGCATGCACTTGAGACGTCATGCATATCATGGCAAGTCGCGATACCTTTGCAGAGTTGTGTCCCTATTAGCATTGTCAGCGATGACTACTCGAGTCCACGCATGGTTTGCATACGTACAAATGCCATCCACACTTTCGACTCCACACGCTCGAAGCAGTAGTGCATGTTCGTGAGCTGGACATGTGTCAGCGTTGACGATGGTCGTTGCTTGCTGAAGGTCGATGCAAACGAGTACGTTCCTTGCAGTAACTGCAGCACACGCAACTGTTCATTCGTGGATCTCGGTGGCCAGTAGTACAAGATGCGGGCTAACGATTCCTCTTCCGACGCGGCATCGTCGTCACTGCCCAGATCTTCATGCCACACAATCACTTCCATCGTCAACAAAACCGTCTTCGTGCTGGAAGCGATGATCCGGATATTATCCGGTATTGCTTGAATGCACCTCTAGTCGCCTGGAACAGTTGGCGCAATGCGCGTCTGCATGGGCATCGCCACTTATGGAAACATCTCGCTGTATGCAGTATAAAATATTAAGCTTATTGGGTCGGCGCATGGGGCATGTTGACGGGTTTCGTTTCCTGGACGGTAGTGGCTGATTTGTCACCGTGGGTGGGTTCGTTAAAGGCAGAGTAGTGGCTGACGCGGGGTGTGGCCCACGGGTCTTGGCCCTCGATGGCTTCGTGGGACTTTTCCTGGATGCCAAACGCCTGAGCGATTTCAACGTACGTCTTGTGTGACGTTTCCGGAACGACGACCGCAATGAACACGATGAGAACGACGAGGATGCCGAGAAAGATGAGGAACGCGTAGTTGCCCAAGCTGTCTTCCGACGCCACGACAGGATAGGAGACAGCGACGAAGAAATTGGAGATCCACGTGAACATGGTGCCGACGGATCCAGCGTTCGCGCGGAGGTAGTCGGGGAAGAGCTCGGCAGCGACCATCCACGCCATGGGGCCGATTGAGAAGCCCCACGCGGCGATGTACGTTCCGACCGACGCGACAGCAAGCGCTGACCATGAGTTGGTCAGAGCGAGGACGAGACTGCCGGACGCGACTGCCATCACGGCCATACCAGTGATCAGCATCGCCTTGCGCTTGAACTTGTCCATGATCTTGGCAACCAACACAACCGAGATGAGGCGAATCACGTTGACGATAGTGTTGGCGACGCGGGGGTCGGTAATACCCGCGTTGTTGAAAATCGTGGCCGAGTAGTACATGATTGCATTGACCCCCGTGATTTGGTGCGACGCACACACGACAATCGCAATCACAAGCTGGAGTCGGTACTTTTTCGACACCATGGCGGCCCATGGCTGAACCTCGGCGATCTCGCGCTGCTCTTCTTCGTGGGACGCCACCAACGCATTTAGGATCGCTTCGTAGTTGGTTGGCTTGTACAGCCTCTTCATCGCAAGCGCGGCGTCATCGACGTTGCCCTGGCCAACAAGCCACACTGGCGACTCAACCGTCATGGGCATCAGTAGCACTTGAACTAATCCAAACACGACGGGGAGCCCCATCATGAACCGCCACGCAATGTCGCCGGTGCCGATGAGGTAATGCGTCGACGTGACGGCGAGCGAGCCGAGGGCGACGCCGACTTGGAGGCCCGTCGAGAAGAGACCGCGCATTTGGCACGGAGAAATTTCACTGATAAGCACGTTGCTTACGTTGATGACGGTGCCGGTGGCGAGACCCGATATGAGGCGACCGAGCGCAAATACGTACGGGTCATGCGCAATGGCTTGGACGCCGCCACCCACAATCATGATGAACGCGTTGAGGAACATGGTGCGCTTACGCCCGAAGCGGTCGGCGGGGATACTGCTGAGCATTGCGCCGAACGCGGCGCCGACGACCCAGCCAGTGACGCACATCGTCCATTCATTTTTGGAGTGACCAGAAAACAAAATGCATGTGTCGGGTTTGATCGGGACAGCTGAGCACGTCTTGACCGAGTGAAATGGAAGGTAATTGAGCTGGGTGAGCAGCCAGCCCGTTTGAAATGACCCGACGAGGGCAATCATGACGGTCACGTACAGCGTCGTCGTTGGCAATAGGGCTTTAGCATGTTCTGGATGGATGCGCGATTCCAGACGCGAGAGGCGCTGGCGGGACGACGTGCGGTGGAGGCTTCGGTACGACGAAACGCGGCCAGACTTGGACACGTCGGTGGCTCGCCCAACACCCTCGGTAATGTCGACGTACACGTCGTCGTCGTCGATTTGCTTGGGGGTGGCAATCCCTTCAAGTGGAGCTGGGTCTTGGATCGTCTGCACCGAGTTGAGAAACGACGGCTCCAGCTTTGGGGAGCTCCCGTCTTTAGCAACCATGTTCACGGAAGTTTGGGAAGTTGAGGACTGACCAGCGCCAAGATTGTGTGGGCCGCCATGGCGGTGCGTGCACGAGAGATACGCAGCCGTGTCATTTTCGTGACCGCTCAGACGCCGCAAAAACGCGTTTACCTCAACGTTTAACGCGCGGGTGCGGTGTGACAATGTCAACGGTTGACGTGGCACGTTCTGGCCGGATTCTGCCGTCGGTTGGCGGAAATGCGACCGTCGAACGCCGTCACAACTATGTAGGAATGCACGAGGCAGCTTGCGCTGCTGGCCGATGACGTCGCCAGCGCTCGTGGGGCGGCTCGGGAGCGATGGGATGCGTGGCTGATGTTCGTTTAACGCATATAACCCATAGAGTGGAATCTGAGGATACACGCGGGTGCGGATGCTTCTCTGGAATTCTAAGATGTGGAGAGTGCTTTCGTCGAGCGCATAGGTGACCGACCGGGACACGCTGCATTATCTTTGGGCCGCCGGATGAGCCGCGATCGCACGGCGCGTGGGGGCATGCAGGGCACACACATGTGACACTGCTCTGAGCCTCTCCATGCAATGGATACAACTCACCCCATGTCCCATGCATTTGGAACTATATTTGACCGAAATATATCTCCTTTTTATATGAAATAATGGCATCAATATTTTAGCACAATTCCAACACGACAATAGTATGACTCGATGTTGAAGTCAATGCATAATTGCACCTGACAAGTGTGAATTTCTCGCCCCACCGGAGGGTGTTTTACGTAACGAACGATGTGGCGAAGACGTGAGATGAGCCAGTGATCTGTCATGCAGCCAGCATCGCCCGTGGCTGGCTCGTCGAACTCAGACAGCTAGCTAGACACGCGAGGGAGGGGTGGCTTTCGTGGCTGGACAAAAGGACCGAGAGCTCAAGACACAACACGGTTAGAGCGTACATTCCACACGAATGGGATCGTTGTTGGGCAGTTTGGGGGCCAGAGGTAGTGCAAGTAGTTGGTCACACTACGTGTGCACAGCTCCATCGGCGCCTGTCACGAGGTGCCGTGCGTTCTTGTTGATTGGACTTGTGAAACAGCACAAGCCGCCGTTGGCGTATAACGCCGTGGTTTCCTCGATTGCGAAGTCGATGTATGCCTCCAAGCCATCGCTCTACCTGACAACACAAGTTAAACCTTTGTGATTTGTCTACTGCGACTTGCGCATGCCCCCCTCCCCTTGTCTATCGGCAGTGCAACAGCTTCATTGAATGCACTGGGGCTAGCACACGGGTAATGTCTGTACGTACGTCGCTTCGATCTGGATTGTCCCCTCGACACTCAGGAGCACATCTCAATTCAAGTGCGCCACGACGCGGTTGGAGCGGTCGCGCGGGGGGGGGGGTTGCCGTCACGGTATTACGGTGACAGGATGATGCTTGTCATAAACGTCGTCGAGGGTGGCGGCGCCATGTTCGTCCGTCGGTGAGGGTACGTCGATGCCAAGCGCTTGCTGAATTTCGTTGTACGTCTTGCGGTTGGTCTCGGGCACGAAAACGTACGTAAACACGACGGCGGCAACGAGGAAACCCGAAAAGACCAAGAACGCGTAGTTTCCAAGATGACCAGGGTCCGCCATTTGGGGGAAATAAACCGACACGAAAAAGTTGCTGGCCCACGTGAAGAACGTGCCAAACGCACCGGCGCGGGCGTTCAGGTAGTCGGGAAAAAGCTCGTTCGCGACCATCCACGACATCGGCCCGATTGACAGGCAGTACGCCGACACAAACACAACGAGCACACCCACGGCCCCGTACTGGGCGAGTGTGTCGTTGCCGTGGCAGAGACACAGAACGAGGCTTCCGCCACACAGCGCCATGATGAACATCCCGTACAGCAGCAACGTGCGGCGGTTGAATCGATCCAACACCTTTGCGGCAAACACAATGTCGTGCATCCGGGCGACGGCGACAATCGTGTTGGCGTACCGCGGGTCATGGATACCAATGCTGTTGAAGATGGACGCCGAGTAGTACATGATGGCATTGATGCCGCAGAGTTGCTGCATCGCGCACAGGACGCACGCGATTCCGAGCTGCTTGCGGTATTTGTTTGTGAACAGAACGGTCCAGCGCCGTCGGGAGGCGGAGAATTCACTCGCCTCGTCCGTGTGAGCGGCAACCATCGCAGCCAAGATGACGTCGGAGTCGTGAGGGAGGTACAGCTTGACGAGCGCCGTGTGGGCGAGCGTGAGTTTATTCTTGGCAACGAGCCACACCGGGCTTTCTTCCATCCACGGCAGCAACACCAGCTGCAACACCCCGATCAAGAGCGGCGCCCCCACGAGAATTCGCCATGTAAACGCTTCCGACGTCATGCCATAATGTACAGTCGTGACAAGCAGCACGCCAAACGAGATGCCGACTTGGAGCCCGGTTAGAAAGAAGCCGCGCATGTTAAGCGGGGTGATTTCACTGATGAGGACGTTCGAGATGTTGATCGTGCCTCCCGAAGCAATGCCGGACACAAAACGACCAAGGGCAAGGACATAAATCGTGCCAGACGCAGCTTGGACGATGGCCCCAGCAATCATGAGGAAAGCATTGAGCGCAAGCCCTTTTTTTCGCCCCATCACGTCAGCTGGAAGGCCACTTCCCAGTGCACCGATGCCACCGCCCACGACCCACGCTGTGGTCGTCATGACCCATTCGTGGTGCGAGTGGCCCCTGAAGAGGACGCAGTAGTCTGGAAACTTCTTGTCGATGACAGGCACTGGCAGTTGACAAACTTGTTTGATGTGGTACTGTTTGTAGTTGAGTTCGGACATGAGCCAACCAAACTGAATCGCACCGAGCAACGCAATCGCCACCGTGATGTCAAACGCCCGCGACGGCTTCAGGGATTTCACTTGTTCTTCAACGAGCATCGAGTCCAATTGGCTCATGCTTTGCGACGACGTGAGGCGGCGATGCTGCTGAAGTGAGTGCGTGCGTGCCTCGTCGTGCAGGTAGACATACCCTTCGCCCGTGGAGGGCGAGGCAATAGCAGTGTCTTGTTGGCACAATTCTCGGGACGCCATCGGAGTTCAAAATGTTGGAGCAGTGGTCGAGGCATCGTGTTGGCAAAGGCACGCAGGTTGCATCAACATGCCCATGCCCATCACCACGGAATGTTGTCGATACCATTTCAGTCCATTCGTACCACACCAGATATTGCCAATTTTTCCCCCATTTTGGCGTGGTTTTGGCAGTTTTGTTGTGGTGTGCGAAATTTTGTTCCCGCGGATCTTTACACCGCTAACATTACCATTACCTGAAGTTGGCTTTCTTTCGAGTTCTACCACGTGAAGCGGGGGGTGCTGTGGCGTGGTAAAGCTGTGGTGTGATCTGGTGATGCACAGACAGCCCTGCTGCCACAGACGCAAAAGCGCCCAGCTCTCCGCGTTGTAACCTTAAAAATTGTCGGCGACATCGAATGAGAATGCAAACTCAATAAACGAGGTGCTGACTCCGGTGTCCATGAACTAGTACTTGACTCTCGCTGTCCGTTTGCATTGAACAGACTGGGTGCCAAACCTACCAAACCAAGCACTCTTGAGTAAACACGACGGATCATTACATTTTAAACGTGATGATGTAGCGCAGGCGTTGTTGGCTCTCTTCATACACGAGGTACTCGTCGTGGTGAAAGGACGACCGCACGTTCTCGGCATGTACCCGTCGCCCAACGTGCACGCGGACATCGACTCCATCGATTTGCACGATCCTGTCCTCGTCCGGGTTCGGGTGCAACGTGCCTTTCGCGAGCACTGAGTCAAATCCGGCCGGAGCTTTGGTCAGCCTTGAATCGTCCTGGTGGATTTCATGCATCGTTCCCATGGCGGCTTCGACCAAAAACAAACACCCAATGTTGCCCCCGTCCACCCGAGTGCTTCGAACGTACGATTGGGATTTTTCCAGCATGTTCGCAAGATATATGCCTTTCCCGACGCGACCGCCGGACGACGGCATGATTCGAAGACCGGACTTGAGGATTGCGGCCACAACGGCCACATTTGTACCATGCCACAAAAGTCGGTGGTTGGGCGTGCTGGCGAATTTTGAGAAAGACGACTCTTCAGGGTTTCTCCGAACAGCCCAAATGTGCTGGACGTCCATCGTCCCTCCAATGCGTCGTGAGTTGGCAATATACTGCATGATGACTTCGTGCATCGTGTCCGATTCCGTCACCAAGTCCAGGTTGCTGTTGAGCTCGGCGTACTTTAAGTCCAAACAGTTCTTGGCCGCGGGGGCGCCGGCCCCCAAAGACTTCTCAACATCTTGGGCGACGACAATGTCATGGAGCGTCGACAGCATGTCGTACTTCTCCTCGACTTGGGAACTTGTCTTGAGGACTGGCGGTATCGTGGATCGAGAGTACGCATGTGGAATGAGCTGATAGAACTTGGCCGACAGCGTTTGAAAGAAGCTTGTGGACGTTTGACCTGCTTCGAGGGCGTCTCGGATAGAGTCAAGAACTGCCACGCCTTTTTGAATTTGGTTGATGCTGAGGGTGCCAAGTGGCATGCGCTTCGGGTCCAAGTTCATGCGAACGAGCTCGTTCCGAAACATGTCCTTGTCGAAGATCATGTGAATGAGTTTCTGGGTCGGGGGTGCAAGTTGCGACGGTATCGAGTCGTCGCCGATAACTTTCGGGGACGCATCAGTGGCCGCAGCATCCCTGTCGTCTAGCTCGACGATCTCGTACGCGCCCTTCTTGGGCACAAAGTTGGCGCGGTCTTCCCACTTGTTTTTGGATTTGTCTTCAAACTTCTTGCAAAAGCATCTCTCAGCATCTTCAAGCGTATTCCAAGGACCCCAGAGCTTGACATTGCCATCTTCTCCGACGCGCCCCCATCGACTGTAGACATCCCATCGCTGTGGAGCCACTTGCACGAGCTGAATGCGGTAAAACTTGTTCTTGCTCGTCGATGCCGTGATCGACACTTGGTTCAGCATGACGTCGTAATCCCCCACTACCGTATGATGTGGCGATCCGACACGCATATAAATCTCATCCAACTGGCGGCCAACGGGCTTGGACGGAGTCACAGCCGGGATATTCGGTGCTCCAAAGTTGAATCCACTTGAACATGGCGTCGTGAACGATCCAAACGGATGCAACGCGCAACCTTGTTGCCCCGAAACACCAAGTCCGAATGACGTAGTTGTTCCAGGGATACCTCCGAACGACGGGGTTGCTGAAGCGAACCCTCCAAATGTGATATTCGTCCAAGGCGAAGTCAAATTTGCAAATGCCGACTTGTTCACTGTCGCCTGCATTGTCGGCATGGATTTCTTGATCCCAATGGCCTTCTTGTTTGCCTTCGGAACGTTTAGCGGCTTCGTCGATCCGGTCGCACGTTTCATCTTAGCGGGCGTGGGGGCGGTTGGTGCAGTAGTGGCTCTCGTAGAGCTACGAGTGACTCGCTTCGTAGGAGAGGTAGGCGTCGATGCGGCCTTTCGCTTGTGGACCATGATCGAGATGACGAGAAATGGAAAATGACATGGCATCGCCCCTGACACAAGTAAACGGGTGAAATGACCATCATTCTGCATCGAGTTCCCGTGCACTTGACAATTGAATACTCCAAAGTGCAACGACATGCATTCCACGATGGGAAAAATGTACAACCCGATATAGAGTGATGGTACATGCACAATGCTGCCGAAAAATAGACTTGTAAGGGGTGGGTGCTTCGAAGCTGTCGAGAGGTGGCCTCGTCGTGATCGCCAAAGTAAGCAGGCGAAGGCACCTGTACCTTGGAGCGAGACGATTTACAATAAAGAACAGGTATCCGACTCTGCACGGCGTCTGTATGTATCAGTAGCAGTCGTGGAACGATGCAAGCCACAAGAACACCTCATGCGAGACGTACGAGACGTATATGGCACGTTAGAATTATTCGTGAGTTTAGATGAGCTTCAATCCCTTGAGGCCAACAATCAACAGCATCCCTTCGACCGTGACGATAGCAATCAACGACAAGACAAACCCAAGGCCATGGCTGCCATAGCCAGTCGTGTAGCCTACTTGGTGAACAATTCGACCAACAGCAAACAACGCGGTCGCAACAAATACAGGGAACGCGAACACATTGCCCGCCAAAAGTAGACCGGCCACCAGCGAACCGTAGTTTTCAATCATGTGGTGCAACGATCGGTTTGCGCGGTTGTACGCCCCCACTTCGCCGTCGTCAATAAAAACCACAGCATTTTCCTTCGCATCTTTGCCAATCGCCTTGTAAATGAACGGGTTCGACCGCAAGTTGCCAGAGTTGCGACGCATGATTTGGCCCTTCAAAATCGTCGCTGGATACATGTTCACAATCGCCACCGTGCGACCCAACAGGACGATTGCTAGGGCCACCCAGTGCAGCTCGTTGCCCAACACCACTTTGATGCGCTTGTCATACGCAGCTTTCGGCCCAAAAGTATACACGGCAAACGCGATTCCAGTACCAACGGCCAGAGGAATAAGTACACCGCCAAAGAGGGCGCCATACGAACTCTTCTTCTCAGCCTCCGTCAAGGCGGGGAGCCCCGAGTCAAGCGTTGCTGTCTTGGCGCCGTTGTCAGAGCCCATTGACCGTGGGGAATGCAAATTGAAATATGAGCGGCCACAACAATCTGGGGCGGTCCGGATGAATATCCGGATTTGACAGTTGATTCTGGGCACAACTGGTTCGTGAACGTTCGAGAATTCGATAGCATGGTACTTGGGCCCTGCAAGCTCCACGTAGTTTGCGTCCTTGAGTTGGGCCATTGCCTGGAGCCCTGCTGTTATGCTTCAGGTTCTGTACTCTCCCTTCCTCCACGTGTGTTTACTGACTGAATGCAATGTAGACATGAACGAGATCACTTTATGGTCGTTGGTGACCATCTGTTACATTCTGGCAGCAACCCAAAAATTCCATTTTGGGACGATTTATTCCATATTGAAATTGAGGTGGTCGTGTCGTGTCTGGGAAAGTTGGCGAAATATTTTTCTTGGCCCCAAAATAGCATTTTTGTATTGCAGGGTCCTGGCTGTGTTTTGTTCTCCAGCTGTAAGTGTGAACATCACGTTTTGCCGCCATTAGATTTCAGCTCGAACGTCGATGAACGCAGTGGTTTTTCAATACGCCGCATGGTAGCCTGTTAACTTACGTTGACAGCTTGTTTGAAAGGCTACTATATCACGACCTTGGCGGGCGAAGGGTAGGTTGACGAGTTCCTCCATGGAAACCCACGGCGCTTTCAAAACCTGTTCCGCAAGCCACCAAACACGAATGCAACATTGCTGAAGCATGAATATTGGATGTAAGGGCGTGTTCATCTTCAGCCCTATCTGGCCAAATCGGACGTCAACTCCACCCGCAATGGAATCATTTTGCAATGTCGACAATGGAATATTTTTCTGAATATTGCCCGACGGGAGGTAGTTTGCAGTCTCAGCAGTGTAAACGAATACTAGTCCTCCGGAGTATCGCTTGTGAGCGGATTCTGGTTTGTACATATAACATCAACTCCACGTGGTAGACGCATACATCGAGGCATTCCCATGATTGTCGTGGCTACGCCAAATCGACAATCCTTCCCACGCAGAATGCTAGAGCTAAAATAGAAGTAAGGGCACGGTCGATTCCGTGTACAAAAAGCCACCAGAGCCACACGCCGCTGATTTCCTTCATGCCTTGGAGGGCTCAGTTCGATCGACTGTACTTGTAATTCACGGCAAAACCTGACCTTCCTGTTACAGTATTGCACCTTGGAACTTGCTACCTGTGTCTCGCTGTGTGGCAACTGGGGCCACATGCAATTGTATGCTCCGTCTCGCTGTGGCGCTGTCGGAACTCTTTCAACGTGAAGAGTCTACGATGGAAAAACATCGAATCTCAAGCACCACGGTCGGCCGACATTTATTCAAGTCGCATATTCGTCCTGCCGACCATGAATGTGGTTCGAGAGCAGCGAGTCCGCGACAGACGCCCGGCAATTGACACATCCTGTCCTTGAATCCGGATATAAGACCGTATCCGTACGATCGGCGTGTATCATTTTGGCCAATAAAATGGTCGACCTGAATTTGAATCGAATTGCGGCGTGGATGGACGGAAGTATGGCGCTGCAAGAAGTCCCTCTCGTGTACGTGGACAACGAGGATGCCACGATCAGCCTTCTCACATCAAAGTTCCATCAAACCCCTCCATACACACCTCCCCAACGTCCGTATTCATGCCTCTTACCACCCGTCGTCTCATACTGGAGTAGGCGTGGAGAATTTGGCTGGTGGGAAGATTGTCCGCCAGTCGTGCTTTGTCAGTTTCCGCGCGATTGGGAAACAAGTACTCTTGTCCCAACATGTCATAGATAGCAGCGTAAGTTCTGGCACAGCTGCGCCTTCGCCATTTTCCACGTCCTTAGCAATCCAACTTCCTGGTAAGCACAGCGTCACGTCACGTTCGACTGTCCGGTCTCCAACCCTGTTCTGTTGCAGAGAGTGTGGCACGAAACGGCGTGAGCGTGTTTGAATCTGCTGATAAACAGTATTTGTCTGTGTGCGTCGTGACGGCGGCAAAAACGGTCCATCGATTTTGCTATAAGCTCGACCCGATTCTCAACTTTGCTGATGCCGCTCGCGACGAAGTCGCGTTTGCGATGACTTCTCTATCGTTTCAGACTTCCATTTCGTCAGTGTGTTGGCTTGACGAATGTAATGTCGTCGTCGGTGGCGACAACGGCGCAGTCCTCGCCATCAACGTTGGCCTTTCGATCTTTGGTCACTCCGCGTCTTCGTTTCATGAAGTCCCGCTAACTGACCATTCGTTGCTCAACTGGGTATGGCAAGGGCTTGGCCTTCAGTCGAACCAGAAACCTCCGCCGATCGTTGCAATCGCCGCCGTGCCAGATGTCGACGATGCTTCGACCTCCGATACGCTTGTCGTGACCTTGTCGGCCGACTTGGTGCTTCGCGTGTGGTCGTACGAACATCAGAGCTGCCTGTGCAACCAATCCCTCGGGACCCTCTTGGAACTAGACACAGCGCATCAAGCGACGCTCCACTTCATTCCTTCCTCGTCCGACGTTCGACTACTCATCCATGTGACGTCGCTGCAACCGTCCAAAACAAAAGAAATCGTGCTACTTCGGGGCACCTTGACGTCCAAGACGTTGGACCTGGACGTTGCGCGCCGCTATGTCGTAGACGTCCCAGCCGCTGTGCGCTTGGTGGACTTCATCGTAATGACACCAGGGACGCAGCTCGTGTCCGTGTGGCGCAGCGCGACCGAAGACTTCGTGTACGTGTTTCCGATTTCGTTGACTGGACCCAAAGTCATCTTGGGCGAACGTGTCGGAGGGATGGACACGTTCGCCCACCACCACGAGATGCAAGACAATCAACTCAACAACACCGACGACCTCACTGACATCGACGTACGATCCCGTTGCTGTGATCATTTGCATTGATATAGGTGCTTCATGCTAGAACTTTTACCTCGAGCGACTGTTTGCCCCCACCCGGTACTCTGCAGACTGCATTCGCCAAGCCATCGGTGGGCCTTCTACGACCGTCACTGCGCTCCCAGAAACAGCCCTCCGCCGGCTCGTCCTCGAGGCTGTGCATCGCGAGACCAGCGCCCAATTGTTCAAGAGCAGCCGCCATGAAAAAGAGTCGTCTGTACGAGCGTCGGTGTGGATGCAGCTGCTCCAGAAGTGCACCAAGGTTTGCCCACTTGCCAATCATATGCGAATGGCTGATGTTGTTGCGGTGTAGCTATGGGTTGTCGAGAACATTCCACTGGGTGTTGCAACATCCTCGATCGCTGGCTCGAGCGTCCTATTGCGCCGCAACCACACGTCTATTTTTTTTCCGTCCACGCACGCGATCCTCACCAATTCGTCGGCGGCGGCAGCGTCAAACTCACTGCACGACGAGCTGGCTGCCATCCTCACGTCGTACTTTGCCTCGTTTTCGTACAGCGACGTCCAAGCAGCGGTCGCTCGGGAGTGGAACATCGATCTTCACGTGGACCTAACCAGTTCCTCGCTCCTGGATACACTGCGCAGCGCACTTCAGCACGGTCTACTGCACCCCCCCAACAAAATGAAGGACCAGGGGTCGTCCCTGCCAAAGCTGTTGGCCCGCATCGCTCCAATTTTGACTGGCGACGCCACAGCCCAAACGGCAATCTTGACTACGTTGGTGGATCAATTGGCACTATTTGACTCTGCAGCATTCAACGCGGCCACCACCGGGGTGAGTAGCTCCAGCGCTGGGTCTTTGTCCACGGATCTTGGCCTCGCGCTGCACCGAATGGGGACCGTCGTGGTGAACGACATGCTGACGGCGACCTTTTCCTCCTTGTGCTTTCTCACGTTCCTGGACGATGCTCAGCCATCTTTCGTCGCCCCGGCAACGCTTCAGCACATCTCGGCGTCTCTGTTGCCGCGTGGTCTCGCACTCCTGCGAACGTGGGTATTTTATCAGTGGCTATTTGGTCAACCCTCGTCTGGAACGCAAGCCATGCTCGTTCAAGACTTTGCGAAGGACACAGATGTCGACATTGCCGTTCCATCACTGGTGTCGGACAACTTGACGGCGGCGGTCCTGTCCCTGCTCTGGAAAGTCCGCGATTTGCCTGCTCTCGCATCATACGTGCACTCGACCAAACAGCACGATGTCCTCCGAATCGTCGCGCGCTACGCATTGCAGCGCCCACAGGAGAATATCACCGAAACAGAGGTCCGCACTGACATGTACCTAGCACGCCTTTTGGGCGACGCCATGGTGGCGGAAGCAGCCGTTGCATCGGAGCACAACGATGAATCTGGCATTACCCATGCTTTGACCCGATCCATTCGCAGCTACATGACTGTGCTGGATTTGGAAGCGCAGCAGCTCATCCACTCGCACACGACCGACGCGTCACTGGCTACTCAACTGTACGACATCACGACCCACTTGAAAGAGAGCGTTCCACGCCAATTCGCTGCCAAGTTTATTTTGCAGTTCTTGCGAATGGCGTTGGTACATGTTGGTGGCAACCTTGCGGCGGCTGAGTTTGTATGGTACAACGTGTTCAAACTGGCACTGACAGAGCATTTGTACGATGAAGCACACGTTGCCCTGCAGCATATCATGCGCGGCGCAGACGCGTCGACTGTGGACGATTGCGTGCGGCATTTCGTGCTGCACCTGTGTGACGCTGGGCGCCTCGACATCGTCGTCGGCTTTTCGTGGGGAGCGCTCGAAGCCAAGGTGGAGGACGTTTTGCAGTGGCAAGCAGCAAACACCCACGCAAACCTCACAATCAAGCGTACCTCTCAAAGCGCAGTGTCGGTGCTCCGACTGTTGTACAGCTTCTTTGTCAAGCGCGGTCGATTCACCGCGGCGTCAAAGGCCATGCACGCGCTCTTTGTCCGTCTCGAGCCTGAAGCGATCAACGCCGACGTCCTTCAAACACAGCGCGACGCGCTATTTGCTGCGACGAATGTGCTTACGTTGGTGCCTGAGCCCCATCGGTGGTTTGTCACGCAAGAATTGGCGTCCGATGCTACCATGAAGCCAGCCGACTTGCAAGTGGTCACAGTCGCCGACCTGCACCGGGAATTGGTCGTTATTCGCGGGAAGTTGCTCTTGTCCGACTCGGTGCCGAGCGTGACGTTGGCCGGCCAGAGTGGCAGCGAAGTGGTGTCCCTGCTCTTGAAACACCTCACGCCTGAATCAATGGCCAAGAGTGTTGCACTTGCTGTTGAGATCGCACGTGTCCACGATCTAGACGTAAAGGTTGTTGTCCGCGCCGTCGCCCGTGACTTTGCCTTCTCTCGCGGCTCGGAGGTGCATCTCCAAATGCTTCTTCGTCACGTCAGCTCGTCCGAAGCGTATTTGGCGGCCATCAGCACGCTTCTGCACTTGCATGCGCCTCTGCCGCAATGGCTCACGCGCGCGACAGTTGCTTCGGGTTCGTTGGCCGTTGTGGCCCTCCTTCGGCTGTATTTGGATTACGGTGTCCTCGAAGAAGCCGTCGCGTTGGCGATCGATCACTTGATCCCCAACAACGTGTCTGAGAAGACTTTCAAAATGGCTGCTGCATCGGACATATCGCCGAAGTGGATGCCGTACGACCTGCTGGACAGACTGCTTGACGCGTGTGATGCCATCATTAACGAGGCGGAAGACGGCGTGGCGGTACTTCAGTGCAACTCCAGTCGCCTGAAGCACCAATTGACGGAGTATTTCAAGTACGTCAAGTCGGTTGACGCCGCCGCGACTATCCGTCGGCAGCACGAGCTCTGCTCAGCACAATCGAACCCGCTTGCGAGTTCTCCGCCTTGGTCGGCTCATTAAAATACCATCATATTCATACAGATTGATGTTGGGCATTGTGGTGTTGACACATAACGTGGGAATTAAGCCTTCGCTTGGGGGGGCAAAGGGCCCAGTAGCATAACTCGGGGCTTGGATGAGTCCAAGGCACAAGCATACGCGTGTATGACCACCCCCGCCGCCTTGGCTTCCTCGCAGTGGGCGGCAAAAGCAGGATCATGGACTTCGCTTGGGGCGAACGCCGTGCAATCGCCGCGTTGAACGAGGAAGACAATGGCGGCTCTTCGGCGCTGATTGTTTTGAATGAGATGGACGAGCTCCTGGACGTGTTTCGACGCTCGTGTGGACACTGTGTCTGGAAAGACGGCACACCGTTGTTGAGGCATGACGTCAGCAGTGGGCTCGGACGCGTTGGCGAGCGTGACGCTCTTGACTTCGACGAAAGTATCAACTCCGTCGTCGGTGGTGACGACAAAGTCGACGCGGCTGTCCTTGGTGTGCTTGACTTCAGCTTGGATGGACATGATCTGTCGATGGCCCACGACTTCTGGTAGCCATCCATTTCGCAATGCGGTTTCCACCATGCGGTTGGCAGAGGCCGAGTGTACGCCCACCCACGTCGCTTCGTTTGCATCGTTCTACTCGACCGTCATCCAGGCAACAACACTGCCACAAGTACATACCACGACTTGGATGTACTCCAATGTATGAGCGTACTTTCGTTTCGCGTTGTCGCTTACGGAGAGTCGGACGGGGGCTAACGGGAGGTCCAGGAGCCCAATCATGGGACCTGTATTGGGACAATGCACAGTCACGACTGTGTCACTGTTGTCGAGCTGTACGTCGGCCAAGAAGCGTTTGTACCGTTTGATCAATTTGCCTGACACAAGCGTTGGAAACTCATACACGATGCGATCGCCTGAAACTGGAGTCATGGCAATGAATCCAACCGGTGATACCTTCCGCTTGGTTGAGGAAAGAGGTACATCCTGCGGAGTGGCAGTCTTGGCGTTTTTCACGTTGCGCGGCTTTTTGATTCGGACCACTGGCGATAATGGAGCATCGCTGACGGGTACGTCCTTTCTCTTGGACGATATCGAGCGCGAGCGCAACTGGCGTTGGGGCGCGGCCGCCATCGTCCTGAACGCCCACCGCTGGAAGGTGTGTACCGCCGCCATCACGATAGCATTGATTCGCTTAAGTGCGATAGTACGTTTCAACGACTTAGGAGGGCACACCCAGTAAGTACTAACGACTGTTCGACACTACTAGCAGTACTACTAAATGCCAACACCACCCTAGATTACTAGAGAGGGGATATAAACTATAAAAGGTTGCGTCCTGGCCATTCGATCTGGTGGTCGCGTTTGTTCACACCCAGTCATTTTCAATTTGGTGTTGAAGAGGTCAGATGAATAGAGGAATCGCGGAGCTTTGAAACAGTGATGTACCTTTATGGTCTCGTTCGTATGAAATCGTACCTCATTAGGT